ATGACAGTGAGCAGAAAGCATGTTCTCGAAAGCACATTATCTCTACAGACTATTCTCTCTTAATATACTTTAGATGCCCACCCAAGAAAAAGAAGCATCAACGAAAGAAGTCGTTCTCCTGGCAAAGATGAAGCATCCCAACATCGTAACCTTCTTCAGTTCGTTTCAAGGTTTGACTTTCTAATGTGCTTCCAGGGTTTTAATAAAGTGTAGTCACGTAGACATCTATAAGAGGTACGTTCCTGGGAACCGTGCATAAATTAGGTTTCTTAAACAGACTCGTTTTCCCGTTTACTTAAATGGTCATTTGAGACATTGACTTTACTTCTTCTCTAGTGAGTTTTCGTAGACGACTTTTCCAAGTTTGCTCAAGTTTTCCTACCTGTCCTTGATTCTTACTGTCTCAAATAGTTAATGATTGGTATGCTAATAACTCCTAGATTGTGGCCTCCAGTAATACACATGTATGTCTCACAATGCACGTTGGCTGTGAGTGGGCAGGGTCTTAAGTCTGGGGCCCAGGTGATGGAGCCGCCCAAGTACGGAGCACGCTGTTCTCCTGAGCCAGAGAAAAGAGCGAGGCACAGGGTCCACCACGCCATCACCGTCGGAGCCCTGCTAGGATGTGGCCTGTTTCTCACGATCGTTCTGAGCTCACGGTCTTGTTGGCACAGCAGTCCCGATAACATGGTGATGAGGAATGGATATCCTGCCTCTGAGAGTCCTTGCATGCGCTGGGGCAACAGGTGGGCTGTCCAGTCCTCTTACAGAGAGGCGGCGAACAGCCAGGCACCGTGGCCAAGCAAACAGCCAAAGCAGAGGGGGAGAAACTTTAAGGAAGCAATTCCCTTCCTGTGGATGCCTGAATACAACATCTCTTCTGCCTTCATCCACCACTTGGCTCCAGAGGCAAAAATACAAAACACAACACGAAAGGAGCATTGGTCAAAGACCATTCACTCACTTAACAAAGTTTTATTGAGTGCCCTCGATGCCAGGTGTTGTTCTGAGAGCCAGGAATATAACAGTGAACAAAACAGGCATAAGGTCCTGTCCTCATGGGGCCTCCATTCTAGGGGGAAGAGACAGACAATAAACACATATCCTGTATGTCAGGTGTGTGTAAGCCTGCACACGGTTCACCATGGAGCATCCCTGTGCCAGCCCCCAGCACTCTGGTGGGTGCTTCAGTTCACACGTGCTGAGTAGTTAATGGAGCAGGAATGTTACCTACATGCCTTCAAGCACCCTCAGGGGGTGTAAACATCAGTAAATAAATATACATAGTCCCTACTGTTTGAGCTTTTACACTGCGTAGGGCACTGTGTTTCTTACAATTTTTAAAATATTTATTATTTTTAAAGGGGGGGGAGGGCAGAGAGAGAGGGAGACACAGAATCTGAAGCAGGCTGTAGGCTCTGAGCTTGTCAGCACAGAGCCTGATGCGGGGCCCGAACCTACAAACCGTGAGATCATGACCTGAGCGGAAGTCGGACGCTCAACTGACTGAGCCACCCAGGTGCCCCATGTTTCTTACAAATTAAAACCTCTGCATTCAGTGTGGCCCTCTTCAACTCTTGGGTATGAACAGGGTTCTTCTGAGCTCTACTTGGGACTTGAGCAGTACATCTGAGCAGGGAGTTGGGTTATTTTGAACAACTTCTAAGGGGCAGCCACTGAATAAGTACCCTACATTTCTATTCATCGATTCCTAACAAGCCGGAAGACAATCTTTTCCTCATTCCTCGGGTTATTGCTGTTACTCCCTCTGTCTGGCTAACGCTCATGCTCAGGCCTTCTCCGAGATCACAGTTCCCATCAGAGCCCCCTTCCTGACCTTGCACCGCACCTCTGCACTTGTGTGTGTGTGTGTGTGTGTTTACAGGTATGAATTGGTGTAAGATAGTCCCTGTAAGACAGTAGATCTATTGCATACTTTTCTCAGCACTGGATCCTCAGCATCTAACACATAGTAGGTGCTTCATATACAATTGCTGAATGAGTACATGGACTGGACCACTTTCACAGAGTGGAATATGTCCTTATGCAAGGTAGATATTTGAGGACCGTTGACATAGATACTGTTTTAAAATCAGAGGTCATTTGTACAGCAGAAATGACCTCTACTGAGTCTGTTTATATTGTAAGCTTAAACTTTCTTATGGCAGCTTTACTTTTTGTTTTTGAAGTGTGTGTTTAGGAAAACTAGAGCAATGAGGACAATGGGTTTGCCTGCAGGTTGTTGGGACTTGAAACACGGAGCTTATCTGAAAGCCACAGAACCCTTTGTAGCCCGGGACAGCTCAGAGTCAAGATAAAGCCTTTGTTTACCCTCAACAGCTTGTCTCTGAACAGAACCATGGCTCTAGTTCAGTAAATGTTTACCTATAAAAAGTATGAAGTTTTTGTAAGTTTGAAACAACATATGACTAATAAAGCGATGTAGTGAGATTTTTCCTGAAGCTAAGTTAATTCCATTTAAATTCTTTCAGTCAATATTTATAGAGTGCCTGTTATATGCTAGGCATGTTCTAAGTTTTAGGGATCATCGGTGAACAAAATTGGCCAGTGTCCCCCACACTGTTGTTTACACACTGTTGCTGTGTAACAGAACAAGTGACCACAAATTCAGTGGCTTGAACCAACACCCATTTATCTTTTCCTAACCTCTCTAGATCACAGGTCTGGGTTTGGTTCTCTGGATTCTCCGCTCAGGGTCTCTCTCTCCACTGGGTCTGCTGTCTCATCGGAGGCTCAGCATTCTCTTCCGTGCTTATTCACGGTGCTGGCAGAATTCATCTACTTCACTGGGGTGGGTATGGGCTTCCAGAGGCCAGCTGCCCTTTTGTAGGCCTTCTCTCCCTTGGAATCTCTCACTTCCTCTGTCTCTGACCTCTAGACTTAGATTTGGATGGATGCTGTGTTTAGGTCAAGCCCACCGGTAAAATCTCCTTTTCTATTAACTCAAAGTCAACTGACTTCAGTTATATCAGCGGGATCCCCTTCGCTGTATGACATGACATAACCATGGGAGTGATAGCCCATCGTATTTACAGGTTGTACCCTCACTCTGGGGGAGGGATTCCACAAGGTGTGTGCACTGGGGCCATCTTAGAATTCTGCCTGCTATCGACTGTGGAATTTTATAGGCCCAGGGGAAAGGGTGGGGAGGGTTGGACAATAAATGTTAACTTAATTAATAAGCACATTGTGTCGTATACTAGAAGGTGATAAGTGCTGTGGCAAAATAAAATAGGGTGAGGCAGGAGTGAGGAAACAAGTTAGAATAAGGCAGTCATTTGAGCAAAGACTTGAAGAGCCATGCTAAACTCTGGGGAAGAGTTTCCTAGGACAGGGCAACAGCCACTGCAAAGGCAGGAGGCAAGAGCAGGCCTGATGGGTTAAAGGATTGGCCAGGAGGCTTTGGGGAGAGGCAATCTGCTATGGGCCCTGAGCATCTCACACGCGCTTGCTGGGTGTGCCAGGAACGCAGAGCCCTGACTGCTGTCTACCCAGCTACATATTGTGTTTGTAGTGAGCGACACTGACGGATGAGACATTTCCCTCAAGGCGGAGCTGGCTTGTTCACTGCTCACTAGAATGCAGCAGATTCCTCAAGGTCAGTGTTTCTTTCCTGTAACGTGGCCCACTGCAGTGCATATGCTTGTCTAGGCTCACATGTTGTACCTCCGTGGAGTTTGGGGGACACAGAGAACGAGCGCTCACGTGAAGCTCTGACTCCTGCTTTTGCCAAGAGTAATAAAGTCCTTTGCCTCTGGCCCAGGAGTCACATGTCCCGGCATCCGTGAAATAGTCACAGGCTTGTAAATAGTACAGAATCTCATACCTGGCACGGAGCCCACTGGGAAGTCAGTGTGAGTAGAGTACAATGAGCAAGGGAGAATAGCAGGAGGTATTTTTATTCTTTAGGCCGAGTCTGTGTCCCTCCTTGATGTGGGGTGCTAAAATGCTTTTATTTATGGAATGATGGTGGTAATGGATGATATTTCATCAAATCTAGAGGCCATTAGTTACAAGATACACCATTCTGTGCTAATTACAGGAAACAATACTGTCAATTAGACTATAACACAGTGCTTTTTTTATCACAATTTTGTATTTAATGTGTACTAAAAGAGCCTTTTTAGACTTATTTACTTTCTATTACTCTTGTGCATACATAAAAAGGCAACTATAAGCAAATTAAATTGGTTAAGGTGTAAAAGTTATGCAGGCGGCATAATAACACCAAGACTGCTGGGCCCCCAGCAACCGATTAGAAGATGCCAATGTCTGTAAGATGCAATCCTAACTTTTTAAAAGTAGAGTTTAGAATGAATTAATTACAGCAGTTGTTTTTTAAGTGTTGGAATTTGACAACAGAAAAGTTGCTTAATGTCAGTCCCTACTATTAGTGTCCCTAAATAGTTTTGAAAGGTCAATGACCCATGAGCTCTATAGTTCCAGAAGTTGCTGCCCTACAGTGTGTCTTGTACTTCCTTTTTAGAGGAACCTTTTCCTCTTCTCTGCATTTTCAAATATTCTTTAAGACTAAATACAGTCTTAATGTTTGCAGAAAGGGACCTCTGTCACCTCTGCTCTGAGCACCTCCAAACGCTTGCTCATGTGGCATATAATCTGCTGTATTATTGTGCCAGTGTATTGCATTCTTTATTTCCATCAATGGGATTGGAGGCCGTGAGAACAAAATCCTTTCTCATACCTCTTCCCCCTCCTACCGTGCTTATTCTTAAACAGATGGAAAATTTGAGAACATAAATGATATTTCCAGACAGTTGTAACCCCATTTAAATATGAAATTAACAGTAGCTAGTGGGGGAGGCAATGGATATTTAGAGCCAAATGATGCTCATTGACCCAAATAGTTTTTTTTAAGATGGCTCAGCCATGATTACTTCTGAACCAGCCAATTAATTTCTTTCACGGAAAGCCAGTGTAAGGCTGAGTGAATCGTAGGTTGGTGGAAAGTGAGTAAAATGGAACCCTTTGTCCTTAGCTTTCCTGACTTTGACTGTTCCGTGGTTTTGAGATTGTCATCCCTTCATCACTATGGCAGCCCTTTCAATGACTCAGCTATGAGAAACAGTAGCTCTCCTAAAAGTAATATGTTCCTGAAAATAACTGATCCCTAGATTATTAGGGTATGTCAGGAAATACCTTCTTAAGACCCTCGTAGACTCCCCAAGTCTGTCCTCGACTGGCTCTTGTCCCCTTTGCCCTCCAGGGCACAGACTTCTACTTAGCTCTTCTCACGTGTACTCACTGATTTGCCAACTCTACGGTCCACGCCTTGTGCAGGAAGGATGGCTTATTTACCTTTTATTCTCAGCACCGCATTCCTTGGCATGTCCTCGGTAAAAGTCTGTGGATGAATGAATGGATCTGTCCCATTTGAGGAGGGAGGTGGACATTGAAGTGTTATGTGAAAGGAGCACTGAGTTTGTGAATTGGGTGCAACCACAACCGAGGGCAGATGCTGTCAGGATGCTCGCGGCCACTTTAAAGTTGGTTTAAGCTACTTGCAAGAGAGAGGTAGCAAATGATAGCTATTTGGCAAGAGATTCTGGCATTTAGTGGATGTTCAGTCACTACAGGGCAAAACACTAGGGAGATTCACCCCTGATTTTGTGCCATGTTTTTGTGTTCCTTACGTGTTTTATGAAACCACTTAACCAAACTTGATTAAGTCCCTTCCATGTGCCTTCTACTGTGCTAGGTGCAGGGAATACAGAAGAGCAAAGTGTGGGCTCTGTCTGCGGGGAACCCACAAAATAGCAGGAGACGTGAATAACTGAGTAGGAGCCGTTTCCTAACAGGAGCCCCACTGGCAGCTGGCTGGTTAAGGGGAAAGGCTGGTTAAGCAGGAAATCATATAAACGTGTTTAATTTTCATCTATAAATGCACAAGCACTTGCCAAACTTTTGACATAAGACCGAGGCCTCATCTTTGATTATGCGTTCATTGCATAGAGTTCTGAATATTCTTACATAGGCGACTCTCCTCCATTTCTTTTTAGAGCTTTTTAAAGCTTTCTTTTTAAAGCTCCAATCTTTTTAAAGCTTTCTTGGTTATTTTCCACTTGTCTTATCCAACGTTTAGGTCTATGGCATTTTTTTTTTTAAAGCTACTCGCTTTTATTGAGTTCTCCACAGTATTCAACATAGGTTTTGTAGAAATAATCACATCTCTCTTTTTCCATTCGTATTTCATCAGTTCATGCAATAATTGTAATAACAAGCATAATTGGCCTAAGCAGATTTGGGAATGCACACGATGATCTTGGTGAGAATTAGTGGGAACAGAGGTAGCTGAGCAGGCTAGAGAGGCCAGTAGCCACGAGTGGAAACCCTGAGTGGGCAGCAGGAATGGAGAATGCCCGTTACTCTAGAAAGTAGGTCAGGCAGAGGTCAACTGAGAAAAGTGTGTATTGTTCTCAACAACATAGCAGAGTACGTGCCATATAAATAAAAGGTTATACTCAAGTTCAAAGGTCTATTAATTCTTCCTGGGGTTTTGGTTAAGATTCCCAGCTCCTATTTTACAGCAGATTTCTCACATCTTGCAGGAATGTGTTAATAACAATTGTTAACATTTATGGAACTCTCTTTATATGCGGGCATTGTTCTAAGCATCTGACATGGATTAACTTGTTTAACCTTTATGACAGTCCTGAGAGGAATTTCTATATTATTATCTCCACCTTACGGATGAGATAATGACGCACAGAGAAATTTAAATAACTTGCCCGCAGTCACAGAGCTAAGAAATGTTAAGTGGTGAAGTGGGATGAGAACCCGTCCATCATGATTCTACAGCCAGAGTTTTTAACAATTGTATACTGCATTTTTCTGTTATATTCTCCATCTTCGGGAACATGAAAGGTAATGAATGATGCCTTTTCTTACAGAGAACAATAGGCTGTTTATTGTGATGGAGTATTGTGACGGAGGGGATCTCATGAAAAGGATCCATAGACAACGGGGAGTGTTATTTAGCGAAGATCAGGTAAAAACACCTCCATTTTGCCTTTTAATTTGTATGAGGGGCAATTAGATTTATAGTGCTGTAAGTAATAGACCATATTTATATACAGCATGATTGCTGGTAGAGAAAATTTAAATCATAAAACTGTGTGTCAATATTCTTGATAGATTTAGTCCAGAGCATGTTTGCAATTGAACTGAAATTGAATCTCTTTTTGAGAGTGAACTTTGAGAAACGATAGTGTATTTTTGGACAATCTCATGTAGGATGCCCTTGAGATAAATCTTCCTGGCTAAAAAAACGTGAATGTGGATGTTCCTCAGCCATTTCAAATGTGACATATTTATAGCTTTACTCTTCTTCCTTTTACCATTTAGTATGCTGTTTTAAAATAGCTATCCCACTTTGCTAGGGAGCATGGAAGGCCTTCGTGGCAATTGGCTATTTAGTTTCATTGATTATGAAGAAAGAGGAGAGAAAAGGTGAAGAATAATGGCCTCAATTCCCATTCCCTCTTGGCACAAACACATTTTTCTTCCATACTCGGAGCTTCCTGTGGAACCCTCCTGGGAGCTGTACTCGTGAAGGAGACAGCAAGTATGTGTGTGCAGAAGGGACTCTGAATCGGGCCTGTGTGATGGATAAGGCAGGCCACTGCCTGGAGCCGTGCACAGGAATGGCCTGCCATCTTTCTTTCGGCCATTTGTTTCTTTGTTCTGTTTTACCATGTAAGAGCCTCATGCCTATATCATTTTCTACGGCACACAATAGAATAGTTTGAATAGACAGATGATTCAGGAATCAGGATCTCTAAAGTTTGCAAATTTAATCACGTATTCTTCCTATGTTCATTTACATTTTATATTAAATTCCATATTTGTAGAAACCCTCCTTTCTTCCTATCCAGGTATTATTTTGCTTCATTTAATAAAAATACTTTTCTCTACAAAATTTTGAGTTACATTTCCCTCTGTTGGAAAAGAATGAAAATTATAACAATCTTAGCATCTGGAGTATAGCTTTTTTCCTTTTGTTTTTCTTTTTCTGTGTAACCTGGCATCCAAAGAACCAATGAAATTTTAGAATAGTTTAAGGAAATCTTTACAGGCCTAGAACACATTTTTAGAAAGAGGCTCATGGCCAGCTAAGAGAAAATAAAATCAAGACTAAGAAAGGAAATTAGGGGCGCCTGGGTGGCGCAGTCGGTTAAGCGGCCGACTTCAGCCAGGTCACGATCTCGCGGTCCGTGAGTTCGAGCCCCGCATCAGGCTCTGGGCTGATGGCTCGGAGCCTGGAGCCTGCTTCCGATTCTGTGTCTCTCTCTCTCTCTCTGCCCCTCCCCCGTTCATGCTCTGTCTCTCTCTGTCCCAAAAATAAATCAAAAGCGTTGAAAAAAAAAAAAAAAGAAATTAAGTTTTAAAAGTAAGATATTTGTTGTTTTTATATTAGATACATATATATTGATAATTCATTAAAGTTGTTAACAACCTCACAGATTCTCTGCCTCTTCTGCTTTCCCTCTCTGCCCTGGGCACCCTCTTTCCACTGAAAAGGAAACACTCATGGCACCAGGGTTATCAGGAAATACTGCTTATCTACTGTCCTAGTGCAGTTAGCAGACCAGTGTTAAGAAAAAAGAAAATCATGAACTGCCTCCCTCTCTCCCCTGCTTCTACTTATCTTTTCCTTTACTTTGATACCAGTGCATTCAAATTGCCTTTTGCAACCTCCATTTTTCTAGCTATAAAAAGAGAATAATGTGATAAGATGGTATTTCTAGTAGTTTCATTCATATAAGTTCGGACACACAAATGTGTCATTTCTCTCTTTTTGTACATTATCATGAAGACATTTCAATGACCACCAGACCACTGACCAGTTTTGTTTAATGTTCCTTCTACAGATTCTGAGTTGGTTTGTACAGATTTCTCTAGGACTAAAACATATTCACGACAGGAAGATCTTACACAGGGACATAAAAGCACAGGTAAGAGTTCAGAGAGAAGATCAAGACAGAAACCGATCTTGTTGTTTTCTTGAAATATCTCCCACAACATAGCATTCTCTCTATTTATAGAACATTTTTCTTAGCAAGAATGGAATGGTTGCAAAGCTCGGGGACTTCGGGATAGCAAGAGTTCTGAACAAGTAAGTGCTTTAAAAATCCTTTTTCTTTCTATTCATAACAGCCAAAATATGTATTTTTAGGTATCATGAATTAAGATATTAAAAGCTTGGTTTCCAGATAATTTGAGATAACTATTTCTATAAATGTCTTAAGTCATTCAGATGATACTTGGTCTGAGATTAAAATTTCCAAGATAAATCTCGGTATAATACAATGATGGTGGCAGTATTGTGTAGTGTGAGATAAGCTTATCACAGGAGATGTGACTGAATACGCACAAAGCTAGTGCATTTAGTGAAACAGGCAAATTCACACGTGCTCCGGGGAATGTATCGATGCAACTGCTTTGGAAGACAATTTAGTGGTAATAAGTATCAAGAGATTTTTAATCATTCTATTCCTGGGAATTTGTTCTCAGGTAATAGTTTGAAATTTGGAATGATTTAAATGCCTCATAATTGGGAAATAGGTAAATTTTATAAAACACGGCATAAGCGTGGATCTGAATATTATGTAGCCATTTATATTTGAAGACTTCTTGATGACATGGGAACAAACTTTGTCATATGAAGGCAAAAAATGGAATTCTGAATTTTAAATACTCTGTGATCACAGTCATATGAAAAATATGCCTGGAAAAAAGATGAGAAGGAAATATATCCAAATTTTAAATAATAGCTGTTTTGGGGTAGTGAGATTCTGGGTAATTTTTTTCTTCTTTATTCACTTTCGTGTTTTCCAAATTTTAAGCCATGAGATTGCATTGCTTTGGTAATTGGAAAGGGGGAATTCTTCTGCATGTCAGAGTTTTATAATATAACAATTGTACTTCTTTGTGGAGTCTTTGAGCCATAAATTTGTTTTATGTGTTGATTTGGGGGAGGTAAATTATAAACTTAAAAATCAACTAACTTTAAAAAAAATCAACTAACTTTATTATTCTTGTTATTAGTATGCAATATGTTTGCTTTATTTCCGTATGTGCATTCATCAAATTTTGTGTTATCCATTTTTATATTGTTTTTCTTGCATGTCTGTGTCTTAAGCCTTTTCTTACTCCAGTAATAAACTGTGTTGTTTTATTATTTAATATGATTTGCTAGTTCCATGGAACTTGCTAGAACTTGTATTGGAACACCTTACTACCTGTCCCCAGAGATCTGTCAGAATAAACCCTACAACAATAAAACGTGAGTTACCGACTATTGGTTTGAAAGTCTCAGTACTAACACTGGTAGGTTCTCTCTTTCTTATGGTACTTATGTAATTGCATTTTCTTCATGTGTGAAATGGGGACCCCAGTGACTATCTTGACCACTTCACTTAAAAATACAGGTGATAAAAGGAATATTAAAAATTGCAGTCACTGTGATGTCCGTCTTTCTATTTGCTCTTCATACCTTCTAAACGCTATTTAGCCAAATTCAGGAAAGTGTTGTGGATGGGTCAGATAGAAGGCAGGGAGGTCTGGTGGCAGAGCCCCGTCACCAACTCGACCAAGTCGGTTAACCTCTGTGGGCCTCAGTTCCTCTAGCAGTAACAGAGAGTGTGGGCCAGGTAATTGTTAAGGTATCTTCCAGCTTTAAAACCCAGCTAGTTTTATGAATACGATACTAAGCCCGCTGTTCAGGAGTAATATTGATATACGCAGTAGGAAAAGGTGAACATGAGGTAGTTTTTACTTCTGTGTAAGAAGGGGAAAAAAAATCCACTTTTCAAAGCTGGCTGCCAGATGAACTTGTTGGCTTATCAGGAAGACTGAGTTCCTCCTGGGAGTTAATTTTCCATTTGTTTAGGAAAATCCCCAAGAGATGTTTGGCTGTTTGACTTTGCAAGAGATAAGTGGAGGGCAAAGCCCAGATGGCAGAGATTTCTAAAAAAGAATAGTAAACATTTCTCTGCATAGAAAAACAGGCTTTTTTTTTTTTTTTTTTTAACAGCCTCTAATACCAAGAGGGGGTTTGGCCTCAAGTTAAGCAGCAAGGCAGCTGGTGCAACCTGGGTGGGAGGGCAGACTGTCCCGAGAAGAGCCCTGGGTCAGCAGCATTGTTTTGTTTCCTTGTACTGCTTTTTAAGAATTTGAATCAACATTTAAGTAAACTGATTTGGTGCTTCTGATAATTGGAAATCTTAGCAAAAATCAGCTGGGTACCCCGCTTTAGCTCAGAAAACCAGTCCCTGGTTCACCATAGTCCGCACCACAAACAGGGTGGTGTAAGACTTGTAAATGTTCCCATCCGGCCCGGTAGCTGCATTCCCTGTTGGACCACCCTGGCTATAGGGGGCGCTCTGGGACAGGGGAGGCTGTGGACCTACAGATGACCCGGTGAAGACAAAATTCTGTGTGATCGTAGGAAGTGGGGCCAGTGAGTTTCTAGAAACTCTTAGAAAAATGCTAGGAAACAGCTGGAAGTTGTTTCCTACCTGTTCTATAATCATCACCCTTCATTTCCTCAAGCCTTTGGGATGTCTTTCTCGGCTCCTGCTGCACACAGAGGAAGTATTGCTAAGCAGCAGAACCCTTTTCCTCACTGTACTGAATCCTTGTTTTCACTTTTTTTTTCACTTCTCATTATGTTTTCTTCAGTTTTTTAAGATTTAATGACGCTTTTTGTTCTCTAAAGTAGCTCCTTATTAAACCAATCGTATATAAGTACCAAAGAGCAAGTCTCCAGTCATGTATTGTTAGCACATTTTTCAGTTTATGGAGTGCCAACTGCTATGTCCTTACTTAGTAGAACTTTGGTTCTGTCAATAGCCTGGAGTAGAATATACCTTTGTAAATCAACCCGATTTTCCCCTTTGAATCAAAACAAATCTGTTTGAGTCCTGCCTTCTTCCTCTGAATTGTTCAAAATCCCACACATACACACATTTTCTTTGAGCACATGAAGCTGAAGTAAACCCTGAGCCCTCGGATTGTAGCAAAGTTTGTGTATCTTTTCTCTGCTGGGATTCTGACAAACTACATATTGTTTTAATTTTACCTCTTAGGACTAAGAATAGATAACGTATCTGAACGCATTTGTAAAAAAAAAAACTGTATAAAAAAAAACTATAGAATTGTGAAGATACACAAATACAAAGCACTGTAAGGATAAAGGCTTTAATTCGGAATTATGGATATTTCTTGGCATGTGAACTCTTGTCTTCCCCAGGGATATTTGGTCTCTTGGCTGTGTCTTATATGAGCTTTGCACACTCAGGCATCCGGTAAGTATATTAATTGTCAAATTAATCTTGAATTACTGAAACTGTGTAAGTGAAATTAACTTTTGAGAGGAAAAAGGTTAATGTTTGGAGTTACTAGATTGTTAAAAATTATATGGACAAGATATTAAGACGAATGGTCGACCTATATATACTGACATGGAAAGATGTCCAACTTAAATATCCAGGTTAGAGATGGTATACATAGAATATTTTCATTAAAAATAAATCATGTGAGGGACACCTGGGTGGCTCATTTGATTAAGTGTCCGACTCTTGATTTCAGCTCCGGTCATGATCTCACGGTTTGTGAGTCTGAGCCCCACATGGGGCTCTGTGTTGGCAGTGTGCAGTCGGCTTGGGATTCTCCCTCTCCCTCTCTCTGCCCTTCCCCTGCTCACCTGCACGCTCTCTCTCTCTCTCAAAATAAATCAACGTAAAAAGTTAATTGTTAAAAAAATAAAAATAAATACATTGTGTGCGAATATAATCAGCAAAGGGGAAAGGTGCATGGGGTGAAGTCTATAGGAGACCAAGCACAAGCTTCTAAGAGCCTCTCCCAATGGAGTCACACAGGATACGCTAATTTCTCCAGCAACATGTTGTGACAGCACATGTGACATGTTAGCAACCAGAGAAGCCCTTTAGAGACCCAGTGCCCAAGGTTTTTATGTGGCACTGGTCATGTAGGCACCCTATATCTGGCATATACTAAGCTTCCAGAGTCCCAGGAAGAAAGCAGGTGTTCAGTGTAAACCATATTATTTGCACAAGTGGTATAGGCAAAGAAAGCCACTCTGAATATTTAGAGAGTGGTGGGAACTCTCCTGCAATGTGAGTTCCCAGATGCCAGCCAAGGTGCAATATAATAAGCAGGTTCTTCTAAGGAGAGCAGTCCTTAACCTGCTGTGTTAACTCTTTTCTGCTGTTATTACTCTTATTATTAATTATTACTATTATTATCAATGGCCACACAGCTAGTAGGGGCCTGATCAAAACTGGATCTTTACAGCCACTCCAGGCTGCTGAGCATTATTATTATGTGTAAATAACCAATGACTTCACAAAATGGAAGGTTTTCTGGTTCATGAGGAATTTTTGAGGAAATGTTTATGTCATACTAATTTAGAAAGCAAGATGTAAAATTTCATGTTATTATGACCTCAACTCTGTAAACATTATTTTACTTTTTCTTTCTTTCTTTCTTTCTTTCTTTCTTTCTTTCTTTCTTTCTTTCTTTCTTTCTTTCTTTCTTTCTTTCTTTCTTTCTTAACGTAAGCTCTATGCCCAACATGGGGCTTGAACTCACAACCCCTCACTGAGCCAGGCAGGCTCCCCAATAAACATTATTTTTAAAAAGACTAGAAGGAAATATACCGCTGGCCGGGAAAATCATATGTACTTGCCCTCTTTGTAGCTTCCTATACCTTCTCGTTTTTTAGAATGAATCAATATTATTTTGATAATAAGGAAAAATTAAAACTAAAAAAACCTTGTTTTACGTAACATGACATCACATTGGGTAACTACCTATAATACCGACTCATGAAGTATTAGTTGATGACAACAATTTAGGGTGGACTATTGTGCTTCCAAATGAAGCTTTAAAACATTGTTTTTTGTTTTTGCATTTTTTTTTTTTTTTTGAGATTCAAATTCCACTTTGTTTATTTAAAAAGTCCGGATTGGGCAAAGGCAAAGGGACTGCTTTCACAAGGGCCCCTCAGCCGGAAAAGGGAAGGGCGGTCAGTTCTAGCACCCCCAGTTCTGGAGTGCAGGAATCTGAGGGCAACAGGCAGAGGGCCCCACCCCAAGTGTGAGAGTGTGTCCCTGAAGCGTGCCCGCCGATGGGGGCACAGGTGGTGAGCACCTGCTGGAAACTCTGTTTTGTTTCTTAGTATTACTTTACATGCAAGTACTGAATTCTTCTCTGATTTAGGATCGTTATTCCTTGTCCTTCCAGTTTGAGGGTAACAACTTACACCAGCTGGTTCTGAAGATTTGTCAAGCACATTTTGCCCCAATATCCCCGAGGTTTTCCCATGACCTGCAGGCCTTGATATCTCAGCTCTTCGAAGTCTCTCCCCGAGATCGGCCATCTATTAATTCCATTTTGAAAAGGCCATTTTTAGAGAATCTTATTGCCAGATACTTGACTCCTGAGGTGAGCTCTGAGGTGATTCTGTGTGGATGTTGACAGAGATTTTGGTTAGCAAGTCCTTGACACGTGTGTTTCATCTTAGGTCATGCACGAGGAATTCAATCACAGCATCACTCATAAAGCAAGATCATTGGCTTCTCAACCTCCAGGGAAGGGGATCCAAGGTAAGAACGATTTGACCATGTGATCAAAACACCTGTCTTATGTGCATCTCACACAGTGAGTTGGGATATATGGCTGGCAACATTAGTACGGAAATTCCACCAAATACACCGAATATGGATGTTTAAAGAATATGAGTAGTGGAAGCAGGAGAAAAATCATCTTGTTGAATGGTGACTAATGGTGGTGCCTGTATATCTAGCCGACGCATGATCTGGATGACTTATGTCCTCTCTTCTCATTAGTTAGGAAACTTCAAGAAGCAGTGGATTTACGAATAAAGAGACACTTGAAGAAGTAGAATCCTGGGGTGCCTGGGCGGTGCAGTCAGTTAAGCGTCTGACTCTTGATCTTGGCTTACGTCATGATCTCACAGTTTGTGAGTTCGAACCCCACACCGGGCTATATGCTGATGGTGTAAAGCCTGCTTGAGATTCTATCTCTCCTCCTTTCTGCCCCTCCCCAGCATGTTCTCTCTCTCTCTCTCTCAAAATAAATAAATAAGTTTAAAAAAATTAAAAAAAAAAGAAATAGAATCCTAACCTAACTTTTGCATAGGAAAGAGACAGTAAGAGAAGGTTCACAGACAGGCCTGGGACAATGAGTTGAAGCTTATTTTTTAAAAACAGAGAGGATAGACTGGCGATTCGGAATTCTCTTGCAAAGGCCCCTTAGAGCTGAAGTTAGTACCTCAGACATAATTGGTAATAGTGTGATCTTTATTATATGACCCCTGAAGGAAGCAGGTAATACTTTATGGTCATGATCAATAGAAAAACAATTTTAGTGGTGGTTCAGGAGTCAGCTGATGATGTGCTCTGTGCATGTGTGTGTGTGTGTGTGTGTGTGTGTGTGTGTGTGTGTGAGAGAGAGAGAGAGAGAGAGAAAGACATTAAAGAAGACAAGATTACTAATGTCACTGATGTTGTGAAATAAGAGCAGCATAGACTTAGTCATAACCAAATGTCTGAACTGAAAGGGTGAAGAGGAGGAGAAAATCTCCCCAAGGAGTCAGGGAAATCTATCTACTGTGATAGAGAAACTGAATTTGAGGAAAGTTGTCAAGGGAAGAAGAGTGAATGAGTCCCTCTGCCATGTGTAATTTGGTCTGGTGTAGTTATGTGTGGGCCTAGATTGAGGACATTTCAAAAGTGGATAAGTGGAGGGTGAGAAAAAGCATGCTGTCCACATGTCTAATATAAGAAAGAAAGGAAAACAGGAAAAAAGCCTGATGGTGACAAACACAGACATGTTAGAAACCTGCTCATACACTGAAAACAACAATGTGGCATGAGTGATGTGGCCTATAACCCAAGCTGTGATGACTATATGTAATTACTTGTACATATCTTATTATTACTTGTACATGTCTGATTATTGTACATATCTGGTTATTACTTGTACATATCTGATGCATGCTGTCTCTGTAAATGTTAGCATTAATCCCTAATTTTTTAAAAGTAGTGTTATATATTACTAGAAATATGTGAAGGAACCCTGGATAGAATGGTTTTCTCTGTTCAAAGAAAAAGCATGGTGTGGGGCGCCTGGGTGGCTCAGTCACTTAAGCGTCCAACTCTTAATCTGGGCTCAGGTCGTGATCTCACAGTTCGTGGGATCGAGCCCCGTGTCGGGCTCTGCACTGACAGCGTGGAGCCTGCTTGGGATCCTCTCTCCCTTCCTGTGCCTCTCTCTCTCAAAATAAATAAGCATTTTTTTAAATGCATGGTGGTTTTCCATCAGCACTTCTCCCACTGGGTCTAAATATCTCTGGCTAAAGTGAGCTTACTGTGTTACGATATGTCCCTTATGTTTATACTCTCACAAGCATCGATACTAAAATGCGAACATTTTAAAGAAATTGAAGTTGTTTTATTTTGGTTAAATAAGATTCTAAAATACAGAAAGCAAGATTCCAGGCAAAGTGCCTACCAAGATCAAGGATATCAGTGCCTGTTAAAAGGAAGGAAATATTACATAGAAATGAATGGAGACCACCAGCTGGAGCCCAGAAGCCCATAGCCGTAAGTCGTACTAAACCCTCTCTCTAGTTTGTTAGCAGGTAGCGTGTTCTATGGATCTACTTGCACATGTTGGCGAAGTACAAGCTCATTACTTTGGAGTCTCCTTATTTTGTACTTTCAGTAAAATTATTCTGTGATGAGCATTCAAGTGGTATCTCATTAGATAACTTCTAGTTATTATATTTTTAAAAACAATGCTGTAATTTCTTATAAGTAGTCTATGTACTAGTTTTAGTTTTCCTTTTACAACTCAAAAATCTTTAATTTATTTAAAGAAATAGCATTTTTCTATATAAAACAAGTGAGTAGCATAACTGCAGAAAACATTATGCTTTTTTTTTTCTTTAAAGTAGGCTCCATGCCTGCGTGGAGCCCAGTGTAGGGCTTGAACTCATGACCCTGAGATCAAGACCTGACCTGAGATCAAGAGTCAGATGCATTACCAACTGAGCCACCCAGGAGCCCCAGACATATGCATTTCGTTCTCTTAATTCTAACGTGTTATGTATAATTGAGAAACTTTTATTATATAATCAGTGATTTTTTTCCTAGAGATTCTTTATGCTTATTTATCTGAATCCACATTAGCAGAGCATTGATAGCATCTTAGTTGATGCTAGTGAAATGCTTCTGGTATATAAATGATTAAATGGCTATTGTCTTTTAGTTGAAGAATTGTATTTTTAAAGAAGGCTTATGGTATAATTAGAGGACCATTTGGAAATACGTTTACTCAGGTTTACTTGCTATATAGACATTTTAGAAAATGTGTGGTTTATAGGTAGATTTTGAAACTGTTTATTAAATTATTGTTCTTCATTTGATAGACCGTGGTTTAACTTTATTAAAGAAATTTAAAAGTCGGGGCACCTGGCTGTCTCAGTCGGAAAAACACGTGACTCTTGATCTCAGAGTAATGAGTTCAAGCCCCACGTTGGGTGTGGAGATTACTACAAAAATAAACAAATAAACTTAAAAAAAGAAATTTAAAAGTATGTTGTGATTTAGAATACTCTGTAGCAGACTCCTAGGAGAGAGAAAACATCTAAAAGATTCAAGGATAGATTAAGTTAGGAGAACAAGTTGATGTTTTTCTAATCAATCCATTGAAGGTTTCTGCTAATGCAATGGAATGAGTGGGTCTCCACAGGGACCACCTGTGGTGTTCTCATTACCATTTGGGGTTTTAGACAAAACCCTAAAGAAGCTGTTAATCTTCTTCCAATACTTGTCTATTTCTAGACATTTTTCAACAAGTCATTAGTAGGACCTTGTTTGGGGTTATATATAGGTAAAATTGCAAAACTAAGAAACATAAGTCATACTTTAAAAGATTTTAAAAATGAATACATAATTTATGTTTAGACTAATAAACCAGAATTTATACACTTATTTTAATATCTAAATAAAACCATGTGAAGTTGCCATTTTTTGTAAGTTAAAAATCATCCAATATCTACAATTCGATGTGGTTCAATTAACATATATATGAACCACACAGCATTAAGAAGAACAGAGGAGATAGTGTGTTACTTCTTCACAGTGAGGAAATTTCAGTTTAAACCATTTGTTTGGGTATTTATATTTCCAGCTACCAGTTCTAGTCCTTTCCAATGGTTTGAACTTCTTTTACTCTTTTGTTATCATCTGTTCAGTAGGCAGAATTGTCCTGGTTAACGTTAAATTGACCCTAGTTTGCTGTTCAGAACAGGGTCCTGACTGGTTTTCATGTGTTAATTTGGCCTTGTTCTTGTCTTATAGCTCAGTGGCCTTTACTTAACTCCAAGACAAACACTTGTTTCTGGTTCTCCTACCATTCTGTTTTGTTTGGGAAGGGTGGTGAGATGTAGCTTGGGGTGATAATATGCCTGTGGCAGCTGTTACATGACTTTCCTTGTGTTTACTTGGGAAGAAGGACTGAATGATTCAGCATTTTCTTTCCTTCAAGTCATGATGACATTTTGTATTTAGTCAATTTATCAGAACCTAAAAATGTTGCGAATCCCCAAATCCGTGGGCACAATACCATTTGTTCCCCCATAAAGTACAGCAAGATGTAAATAAGCTTATAAAAATATAAAGTAATAATTCTGAGTTTAGTTTCAGATCTTGGGTTGACTAGGCATACTCACTAGCTAAGTATTTTTGGTAGACCAATCATGACGTATGCAAGATTCCTATTCACACCTTAATAAAATGATAAACTACTGTGCTATAGTACTTAGACTTCTCAAGTATTTTCCAGTTCCAGGATTTGGGGATTCTAAGATTATTTACCTCTCAAAACTAGTCTAGAGCAAAAAAACAAAAACATACTTTCAGTGCCTTGTCTTAGCTATGGTCACCATCAAACTGTCAATTATTAGAGATTTTAATTATGTGTCTTCAAAATCCTTCCTCTTCTTTTTGATCCTTCAGATAAAAATGGTAGAAAGGCCCAAACTTCCTGCACTCTGTGGTCATTATGATTATTATTATGCTCAACTTGACGTGTTGCGGAAGAGAACTCATGAACCAAGTTACCACTGTGTTCGTCCAAAAGATTCTGGAGTGGAGGAGAATTATAAACAGGAAGAAAGCCACAGTCCATCACCAGGTCAATGGTAATGTCAGAATCTTAGTTAAGCTTTGGTCCTCTGAAAATATCTTGATATATCAACATTTATTCTGAAGCCCTTCCAAATTTTCCTAAAACAAATAACCCAAGAGGAACTTCCAAACTCTTCATCTTGAATACTCGAGTCAGAGTTTCTTTTTCTCTTTTTCATCTCAAATCTGATGTAGCTTGTCTTCTTTTTCATGGAACCATGAACATGTATGTATGTTATTTTCCAAAGAAATTATTAATATTAATAACAATTGAATTGTAATCAGATTATCATTTGAGACATATTAAAAAGACATATTGAAAATTCAGCATGTATTTTCCTGGGATCTTTCATTTGTGCGCCAGCATGAAGAGCCTCTAGAGGTACAGGAATGGCACACAACCATGGCGTCATGGAGCTCAGGGTGTAGTGCAGGAAATGGACAGGCAACTGGCAGTCAAATCAGGGGTGCAAGGCCATCAGTCAGATGCCTGCCCAAAGCGTGAGAATATCATGGTATGGATTTTTCTTTTTCCCTCCAACATATTGTAGACCATGGATGGACTGATCCTGTCCTGAAGAAAAATCACTGCATCAGAATATGTTTCTGTTTTATCCTCTCCTGTATCCCCAATTGGTACAGTTCTCTTTGCTTCCTTTTCTTCCTGAGTCCACAGAATGCATTCTGTAACTCTGAACCACTTCTTGAACTCAGAACTTTAGGCCACAGGTGAACTGTGAATCACATTCCTAAATTGAAAATCCACTCCTCAAATTGGTGCCTAAGTCTAGTAAAAGTTTCTACTCAAGCTGAACATTTTTATTTTCTAAGGCCTGCTGAATATCTTCAGAGGAGATTTGAAGCTCAACAGTATAAGTTGAAAGTGGAAAAGCAGTTGGTAAGTAAAATACCAATCGTCAGAGGCAATCAGGAACTTCCTGTTCACAGATATTCATGGGTCCTTATGTCCAAGTGCATTCTGCATAGAAGATGAAGACTACTCTCCACCTTCTCCAATTTTTATTTTTATTTTCTTTTTTTACTTTAGAGAGAGAGAGAGAGAGAGAGTGAGCAGGGGAGAGGGGCAGAGGGAGAGAGAAAGAGGATCTTACACAGGCGCCATGCTCAGCATGGAGCCCTATGTGGGGCTTGATCCCACGACCCTGGGATCATGACCTGAGATGAAATCAAGAGTTGGACCCTCAACTGACTGAGCCAACCAGGTGCCCCCTAATAGTTAAAGAAGAATAATGGGAATAGGCTTGAATCAGAGCTTGGGCGGCCTGGTTTCTTTCCTGGCTCTGCCCCTTGCTGTGTGACCTTAGGCAGGTCATACAACCTCTCTGAGCCTCAGTTTCCTTTTTATAAGTGACAGTTTGGGAGTAGATGAGCTTTGAGGTCCCTTTCAGTGCTACAATTCTTTGATTCTATTTTATTAGAATACTACACATCTTTTAAAAAGTGACTATTGTATTTTATTTGAAATGAAAGTTAGCTTTTTAAAGTTTAACCTTTATTCTTTAGTGTCAGAGTTCCGGGGTGGAGGCTGGATATGCATTCTATTTCTATCACTCTTACTTTGAACTACTCAAAAGCTCTAGTTCTGTTCCCCTACCTAACCTGATGCTCCAGTGATGGCTCAACTTTTACAGAACTTTAATTTCACAATCATAGTTTACCAGTTCAGAAAATGAATCTGGGTGTCTCACATGGTAGCATAAAATATTGATTGCTTAGGATAACAACATAAGTGGCTTTATTAAATTTCTTTACTTTTTAAGTATTTCATATTTAAATTAAGAAAATTCTGCTCATCCCAAATAGTGAGTTTTATTCACAATATAATTCTTGTTTAAAGAAAAAGGTCAAATGAGAAGATGTTTCTGAGATGCAAATATGCTTTAAAATTATTTCATTTGAGGGGCACCTGGGTGGCTCAGTCGGTTAAACGTCCGACTTCAGCTCAGGTCATGATATCATGGTCCGTGAGTTCGAGCCCTGCGTGAGGCTCTGTGCTGACAGCTCAGAGCATGGAGCCTGTTTCAGATTCTGTGTCTCCCTCTCTCTGACCCTCCCCCGTTCATGCGCTGTCTCTCTCTGTCTCAAAAATAAATAAACGTTAAAAAAAAATTTTTAATAAAAAATAAAATAAAATTATTTCATTCGATTGATAGGGTCTTCGTCCATCTTCTGCTGAGCCAAATCACAACCAGAGACAAGAGCTAAGAAGTAATGGAGAAGAGTCTAGATTCCAGGAGCTGCAGATCAGGAGAAACAAAATGAAGGAACAGGTTAGAAGCAATCTAATTCCCAGGCTCCCTAGGGGTGCCTGGGTGGCGCAGTCGGTTAAGCGTCCGACTTCAGCCAGGTCATGATCTCGCGGTCTGGGAGTTCGAGCCCCGCGTCAGGCTCTGGGCTGATGGCTCAGAGCCCGGAGCCTGTTTCCGATTCTGTGTCTCCCTCTCTCTCTGCCCCTCCCCCGTTCATGCTCTGTCTCTCTCTGTCCCAAAAATAATAAACGTTGAAAAAAAAAATTAATTCCCGGGCTCCCACTGTACTTGCCATTGTCTTTTGTGCTGTTCTGTATATTACTTTTAGTGTCCCAACAGTACACCTGAAAGGCAGAGCTCCCTTGCCCAGTACTTGTTGGACACACTCCTGTGAACCTCCATGCTGGGAGTTCGAGGGGTTACAGAGACACATATTTCACCTCCTCAGAGAATGTGATGTGGTGAACTTCATAAGGCTTTTTACCTTGGATTCATAAAGTAACCACCCATCATTAACATTTTTGAAATATGTATTCGCTTTCTGGGGCTGCCTTCACAAAGTACAACAAACTGGATGGTGTAATACAACAGACATGTATTGTCTCCCAGTTCCGGAAGCTGGAAGTCCAAAGTCAAGATGGCGGCAGGGCCATGCTCCCTCTGAGAGCTGTAGGGGAATCCTTTGCTTCTTGCCCACTTCTGGTGGCTTGTCAGGAATCTTTGACATTCCTTGGCTTACAGCCGCATGACTCATTCTCTGCCGTCAACACATGGCATTCTCTCTCAGTGTCTCTGCCTTCACGTGGCTTTCTTCTTTAAAGGACCCCCCCCTCATGTTGGGTTAGGGATCCGCTCTACTCCAGTATGACCACATCTTAGCTTAACCAGCTATATCCGCAGTGACACTATTTCCAAATAAGGTCACATTCTGAGGTACTGGAGGTTAGGACCCAAAATAGCTTTTCTAGGGGGGTAAAACTCAACCCATAAAAGTGGATATATGAAGTAATTGTATGTCATGAGCACAGTTAGGGTTATATATAAAAGTGAGATCACCCCAAGCCACCCCATCAAAGTCACAGGGAGGGAAGTACCACAGCTAAGACATAGATTATCATCTTTAGGAACAATGGGTTTTCTGATTCTTACTGTTTGTCACACATTCTTTAAATCGTAGGCTGTATAAGAGATTACTTTGTTTAGTTGTTCACCAACATTTCAACCTTTTGAATTGGGATTGCTTTCCAGGAGTATTGGAAGCAGCTAGAGGAAATACGCCAACAGTACCACAATGACATGAAGGAAATTAGAAAGAAGATGGGGAGTGAACTAGAGGTGAATACATTTTTCTCCCGAAGGAAATATGGTACTACTGATTTCGATCTACCTAAAGCGAGCAGGGTTTCAAAAGCAGCGTTCTCCTCATGGCAATTAGAAAATATTATCATGCAACCTTTTAATGGGAAAGCTAACAGATCTAACTGAAACTTTTAATACAGTTTACTTGAGACTACACACGATGGTGAGGGTATCGGAGATTCTGTTAGGAACGGCCATCCTTAAAAATACCTGTTCGTTGTCTGCCTCGTGAATTAGTCAATACTGATTGACTTTACACCAGAACTAGGTTAGAAGCAGAAGGTAAGTCCAGGCCCATAAGATAGGAAAAAAGATGAGCACTTATTGAATTCAGCAATGCTGGAATAGCCTCATATGCAGGGGTGAGGTTGTATCAGGCCACATTTGAGTGCAGTCAAGATGATTCTTGAAAATCTCTTAAAGGCGCCACTTTGGATCTCTCAGATCTCTGGGAGAGAGATCCATCTCTCAGATCTTCCATCTCTGAGATCACTGCTTTTTCAGTAGAGCTCCAGATGAGATAGCTAGCCTGTGTTTGTAGACCATGTTGCATGAAAAACACACGAATGTTTAACCAGTGGACCACCCTCACTGCCCTGGAATGCTGAGAGGCCTGAGGTTCTGAGGCCGGCTGAGGATACAGCTGGCCCCTGGCTCATGCTCATGAGCGGAGCTGGCCACACTCCTGGACTTGGTTTCTTTTTCCCCTCTCCCCCACCCCCGAGTGCATATAGATGAATTAATACAAATGAAGTGAGCATGTGGTACAATTCAGTTATACGTACGGGGCTCTGAACTACAGTCTTCACACACTTTATCTCATTTTACTCCCCATAATAGAGAAGTTAAATAACTCACCCAAAGTCACTTAGATATTACCAGGCAGACTAAATATCTGATTCTGAAACCTCTACTCTTCTAACATACGTACTCCTCAAAAGAGTTGGAAAGATACAGCATGTATGAGCAGTGATCGAGTAAGACTGAAGATAGTTAAGCCTTGTGCACAGGAGTAGATGAGCCCCGTGAGAGTTTTCATGGAAGAACGGAGGTGGGGTCTAATCTGCTCTGAGAAGAGGAGCAGAGTTTGGAGAGACAGAGCTGACGGGGAGGGCATTCTGCAGGAACCACAAAGAGGTTCACGCAGGACTGGGGGAGCTGGAGCGGGGAGGGTTGGAGATGGTTCTTTCTAGAGCAGAGGCTTGGTTAACGGTGGGGGGTTTTGAGTGATCATCTGCCTTGTTTTTAAGGCAGGTCTGTGATGGGAAACCTGAGTCCAGGAAGACAGAGAGCAGACTTTTCTAGAAAGACCAGGAAAGATGCGTGTGGGGAAAGATGTTGGTGGGGGATGCTGAGGCGGCCACCGGGTGGGGGGATGGAGGAAGGGGGAAGGAGCGGGAAGGAGAGCCCTGTGCAGCCATTCCCGCCGATGGCGCCTGCGCAGTGGGAGTGGAGCGTTTCCTCACTAGATCCCACTCAAAACTGGCCATGATTCACAATGTGGACCTCAGAACTGACTGAGAACCACTCCTGTTGACTGTGTGTAATTTGTATTTTTAGGAGGACTCAAAAATAGGTTATAAAACCTATTTAGTGAAGAAAAGTGACCTGCCCATCCCCCAAGAAGCACCTCAGGAAGAAGCTCCTGTACAGGTGATGGTTATTAGTAGGTGATAATGTGTTTCCCAGTGAGGTGGCTCTAGCCTGGGCGTTCTTTTTTTTTTTTTTTTTTTTTACGTTTATTTAATTTCGAGAGAGAGAGACAGAGCATGCGTGGGGGAAGGGCACAGAGAGATGGAGACACAGAATCCGGAGCAGGCTTCAAGCCCCGATTTGGGGCTCTAACCCACGAACCATGAGATGATGAACTGAGCCAAAACCAAGAGTCAGTGCTCAACTGACTGAGCCACCCAGGTGCTCCTCTAGGCCGGAAGTTCTTACCCCTCACTGTTCAGGAGAGCTGTGTGCGAAAGTTCTTAATAACTCAACACCTAGGCTCTACCCCCAGATGGTCTGGGGTGGGGCCCAGGCATTCTGTTTTCAGAAGCCGGCTGGGTGATTTAGTGTGCAGCCATGTGTGAGAAGGACTCTCGTGTGTGTGTATAAGAGTTCAGCTTTCTGGATGGTGTTCGAATCGGTGTCTCAGACACCTTGGTCAGAAATCTGATGGTTAATGTCTTTACTTCAACCTTACGTTTTTGGTGGGAGGAGGGAACTGGGCAGAGATGAATTATCAAATGGCTCCCAAGAAGGTTTGTTTTTCTTTCTGGGAGGTCTTTCACCTTTATCTTCAAGGTGCCACGAGGGCTTGGTTAAGGGTGGGTGAGGGGGGCCAGTGTTGGTGAAGACTGAAAGGCTCCCCGAGTGTTTTGCTTGGGACCTTCCACGACGTGATACCGGGGAGCTCTAACATGAACCGACTCGGGGGGATGGGGCTCAGGAGTCTAAGATGGTTGTATCTTAAGGAAAATAAAGCCATAGGACACTTCTTGTACAAATGAGACAACCAGACCCCACAATCAAATCTAGACAGGCAGCTTCGCAAAATCAGTAAGATACAAAAGTCACAATCCTGTTTCAGAGTTCATAATATTGCAAGGTAGAAACGTGTCCTTCCCAGGGCTGCAGGGGAAGCAGGGATTAATGATTCAAACTAACACCTGCTGTATGCAATGTACCTACAGATGAGGCAGCACTGAATTCTAAGGGAGAGATGATAGAGACCTCCTGTAACATGGCGGAGAGAAGAGAGCATTAAAACACACACACACACACACACACACACACACACACACACACACACACACCAAAAAGACTCCTGTGTTTCTGGCTTAAAAGTAAATATCATTTACTAAGATGGGGAAGAGTGGGGAGCAAGGTTGTGGCGGGGGGTTGTACTCTGGACATACTGAGTTGGAGAAAATCTGAGGGACTCCATGCCTGCTTCAGGGCTCCTCACACACGGAACATGCTTTCCCCGGACCTTCATATATGCAAGGTGCAACATCATTCCAGGGATTCCATCACATGCCAGGACGGGCTTTTCCTGCATTACTCTCCTCCTCTCCTCTTTTTCTGTGCTGTCACCCTGTTTGATTTCCTTCATAGCACATAGCACTTTCTGCAACGAGTTGCTAATTGAACTTACTTAGTACCTATGTTATTGCAGTAAAATGGAAGTTCCATGTCAGCAGGGATCTTTGGTCACATTCACCGCACTAACCCAATGTGTAGGACGGTGTCCGGCACATGGTGGGTTCTCTGTGTGAATGTGTGGAATGAATGTCAAGGTGAAGATGATGCTAAGTAGGCAGTTAAGTAGGTGAGCCTGCAGCTCAGAGGGGAGAAAAGAGCATCCCTGGAGGTGCACATTTCAGGGTCCTTGCATAAGGACCCTTAAATCCATAGCAACTGCTGACACCCTGCACTGAGGAAGAGAGGGGCAGAGGGCCCCGGACTGCATCCCAAGAAAGCCCGGTACTTACAGTTCACCTCTCACCTGTTCCTTTGACAGTCTCGTCATCTACTTTCACAGTCATCTTCTCTTCTTTGAAATTGCCCAGCAATTTTTAGAGCCCTCTCCTTCCTTTTTACTATTGTGAGCAGTGCACTTGTTTTCCTGGTTACAATCGTAAGCCTCTTAAGGGAGGGATCCTGTAGCCAAAATTATATTCTTGAATTAGATTAGTTGTACTGGACCAGAGTGATAGGCATTGTCACATTATGGAATTTTTGCCATTGCAACGCCAGCCTACAATGTTTTGCTATTTCAAGTTAATGGATGTTGTGTCCAAGTTTTTAGCGAATTGTTGTTAACTTTCCTTTACAAAGGCATGTTTTGATGCTCAAATTAATCATTGGATTCAATCCAGAAGTCAAGTAATGTAAACAGACCATGCTGTGAATTCAGGGGTTGTGAAACTATCATTGTTTGATCAATGTTATATGCTAGATTTTAATTTTTCTCTAAACTTGCAGGATATTGAAAGAGACTTGAAACAAATTAGAGTTCAGACCATAAAGGAAAGTAACATTCCAGAACAGAACTGTAAAGCTAAGGTAATAAACATTTGGTCTTGTGGGTCATATTAAACAGCTTGCTGGGGGGGGGGGGGGCACACCTTGCAATCTGGGTTGCCTACAGGACTTTTCCCCCTACTATTTTATGGAATTGCCTTATTTTGTGATGTTTAGCTAACGGTTTTTAGTATCTGTAATGTCAAATAGGTAGTTGTAATTTTAACACTTTTATTAGATTGCTAAACTAACATTATTTTCCTTGCTTTCTTCTAGAGAGGAGTGAAATTTGAAATTAGTTTAAACCAATGTATTTCTGATGAAAAAACCCTCCAAGAGGAAGAGGTATGCCATTAAGTATTTATTTCCATTAATAGGTATGAGAAAAATGAGTGTCTCAATAGCACATTTAATGAAGTTTTTCAATAGGCCATAGGGAGAATTTTCTTAAGTCTTCCCAGAAGGAACGCTGGTGTTCAAATGAGTCTTCCAAAAGGCTTTTTATCTTACCATTCTTTTTCTCATTGAGATTATTCCCTTAGATGGATTATTCCAATCTAATTTACTTTTCTCTTGTAAAGGAATTATTTTCTCATAATATTAACTGTCCTTGCCAAATTAAAATAGAAGACTTAATTATAGTCAACAACTAATATACTTACCTAAAACATTGAGCAGATATCCTGAAACAGTGCACATTTCTTTTAGGTCTTAATTAGTTATTGATAAGTTTCTTCTGGTCTTTGGATAAATCTCAGTTATGCACTTGGGCTCTCAGTGACATAGTGATAAATGCACGAATACAGTAAACTCAAACTTCATTTTATTACTTGTATTCAACATCTTTTTTAATCCCACTTTTTACCAGACCTGTTCACAAAAATCAGAATCAACTGATTTGTGTCTCCATTTCACCTTCACTAACTCTGCCTTTTAAATTACCAAAAGTTACGTGTAAACACATAGGAGCTATATCACATCTGATACTTAATTTCTTTCATTCATGTTCTTCATTAGCTGAAAAATTTTTAATGCTATCATTTCTTTTAGATTTTTTTGTTTTGAACAGACTTCATGTGTTAGAGCATTTTTGGGTCCATGGCAAAAATGAGCAGAAGGTACAGAGATTTCCCATCCATTCCTGGTTCCACACATGCACAGCCTGCCCCCCTCCCCACCCCGGGGTGGAACATTTGTTATACCTGATAAACCTAGATGGGCACATCATAATCACCCAAAGTCCCTGGTTCACATTAGGGTTCACTCTTGATTTTGTACATTCTGTGGGTTTTGTCAGACATATAGCGACACGTATCCATCATTATGGTACCATACGGAATAGTTTCCCTGCCCTAAAAACCCTCTGTGCTCCAATTACCTTTCAGATTTTTTTTTTAATTTTTTTTTCAACGTTTATTTATTTTTGGGACAGAGAGAGACAGAGCATGAACGGGGGAGGGGCAGAGAGAGAGGGAGACACAGAATCGGAAGCAGGCTCCAGGCTCCGAGCCATCAGCCCAGAGCCCGACGCGGGGCTCGAACTCACGGACCGCGAGATCGTGACCTGGCTGAAGTCGGACGCTTAACCGACTGCGCCACCCAGGCGCCCCTACCTTTCAGATTTTTATTAGCATTTTGCCACATAGAGACTTCTTAGAGTGGTGATAGTTAATACTCACTTCTCTTTAACCACTAGGTGTCTTAGCGTCCCAGCCCTATGGGGACCAGAGGGGGCAGATCCGGGGACCTATTTCAGGGCTGGAGTGGTACATCCACGGCACTTCTATGAAGCCAGGTGCCAAAGCTGGCCTGTTAGTATAAAGGAAGAGAGTAAAAAAAAAAAGTGTTATCTGTCAGGGTTCTTCACCCTTTGTTACTCGATGCTTTGATGTGCTTAAAACAGAGTGATCATTTTAGTGTTGTTTGTGGAGTATTAGGAGCAGTTTTAGGGACCTGATTGGGAACATTGTGCACTTAAAGCAGGGCGTGGATGAGATAACCTTGAGAGTTCTATAGAATGGAACTGCAGGAGGATAGAATTCAAGGCAGGAAGTCTGGATAAAATCAAGTTGCCCTATGATTGGTGCTTGTCGCTGTTGAGAAAGAAGGAGAAGAAACAAAAACATTCCTGTTTCTATCTTGTTCCAATATAGTTCCAGTTTTAAAATGCTACTAACTTATTTGTTTAATGTACATATGTTGAATACTTCTCACATGCCTTGGTAAATGTTATTACTGAGAAAACACACAAAAAATTTTTAACGTATTTCTTTCCTAAAAATATGGCTTTTGTCATGAAACACTGTGGAATTGCTTTAGGTAACGGATGTGCGAAATGAAACTTTGACCTTTGAGGATGACATGAAGCTTAAGAAGTATGAAGATTATACAGACAAAGCATTTGAAAAACTCTGTTGTCCAGAAGCAGGTACGTGTTGTGGCTCTTGAAAGCCGTAGATGAGAAAGAACGTTTCATTGGCGATCCATTACAGTCCCTCTCCTTGCTCACCTGCAACTCCGTGTCACCTGCCCTGCTCCATGGGCTCTAGCTGGCAGAGCCCTGGCTCCTCTGCCCCCAGAGACCCAGCCCTTTGCACCTGCTCTGTGCTGTCTCCTTGGGCAGCTGCCCCCAGCCGGCAGCTCCACACCACCCACGTTCTCATTGTCTGCTGGAGTGTTCCTTGGACAAGTCCCACTAGCCTCTCAGATTCATCAGTTGTCGCTTGAATTTCGGAGCTCTTCCTTCCCAGCCATCCTTTATTGTGGGGACTGCCAGCATCAGGCTGACCATTCCTGCTGCACACCGCAGTGGGTTCTCCTCTGAGACGTCTCTGGAGTTTTCCTCTTCCTTCAGCCCCTCAGCCACCGGTTTAGGGCCCGGTCGTCTCTCAGCAGTGTGGCGAGATAGTGAATGCGTGGAGTTTGGATCCAAGCTGCCACTGCCACTTTCTGACTGTGTGACCTTTCACAAATGACTACAGTGCTCTGAACCTCAGCTTCCTCCTAGGAATGGGGATAATAGTACTTGCCACACAGGCTTACTGTGAGGACAAAAGTGAAATGTGATATATCGAGTACCTGGCGCATAGTAGGTGCTTCATAAATGCTATTTCTAACTTGTCTTTTTCCTGTGCCTCACTGCACTGCCTTACTCTCTTATGTGTCCTTCTTTTCTCTAGTATTTTCCCCTTCATTCTCTAAATAGCTGCTGGAGTTATCTTGCTATATTACTCTTCTACTTAAACTTTTTCTGGATAATGCTTACAGGATTCCTCATAGTCCATTCCACATAGTATCCTGTTTAACACTGTGGGACCTGAGCCTGTGCTCACCCACCTTTCCTGCCCCAGCACTCCTCTTTCCTACCACTGATGATGGGATGCATGCAGCCTCCTGGAGCACCCCTCTTCCCTTACAGCTGTGTGAGCATTTACGTGCCTTCGCGTGGCTTGGGGTCTTCTTCCTAGAATAATACACTTCACCTCATGTCCAGGTGATTCCAGAAAATAATCCTTTATTCAGTTCAGCAGGCATCTTGCTGAGAATCTCCATGTGCACAGACCATGCGAGTGGTAAGGATCTCAGCGATGAATGAAAATGGAGTCTGCCCTCGACATCTCAGTAGCATCGAGCCAAAGAGAGGGGGGACCAAACATGTTTTCTGAGCCCAAATACTAATCATCATTACAGTGCCAGCTGGCTGGAGAGTCAGGGAGGTACCCGCTCCTACAGAGCTTGGCATGCTAAAGAGCTTGGGCTTTTCCTATATGGTGACCTTCAACCAAAGGGAATTAAATGCTCTTTGTGATGGAGAAAGACCGGGCTGGCTGCAGTGTAAGGATGGTGTGGATGTAAGTGGCCAGACTGCAGGCAGGAGACAAATAGCTCAGGTGTGAAATGACAGGTGCACAGGCCAGAGCGGTGTGGTGACAATAGACACCGAAGTGTGAACCCCTGAGTGTGGCGGTTGGGGAAGAGAAGGAGGTCAAGGATCCTCCCAGTTTTCCAATTCAGGTGGATGAAGCTGTTACCAGCCAAATAGGCACACACATCGCGCTGAGGGAGGTGAGCGGACATAGTATCACACTCTAGATTTGGGACACATTGAGGTTTAGGTCTTTCTGAGCCTCGGCTGGAGATTCTTAGAAGATGCTAGCTGTGGAAGACTGAAGCTCTTGGACAAGTCAGGGTCTCCATAGTATACACACGGTATTATCATAATCACCTTAACGATGGTCGAAAATACCTAGGTAGAGGGACTAGAGTGAGAAGGAAATACAGCTTGGGACAGACCCTAACGATGTTTAGACAAGTTTTGGGAAAATCCAGAGAGAGTGAAGCCAAAAGAGGAAAGTTCTAGAAGGAGGTGCAGGGTTGGCAGCATCAACTGGAAAGGCTAAGGGAAGTGGGTTGAATAAGAACCTATAGGTTTGGCCGTCAGGATCTTATAGTGGCCTGAGCGAAAGTTGCAGAGGAAGGGACAAATTCCAAGGTTATTCTTTGCATTGCATAAATTTTCTGGAAAGAGGAGGCTGTAAGTTGTAGGTCTCACAAGATGTAGCTGCCTTTTTTTTTTAGATTAAAGAGATTTCAGTTGGGTACAGAAAATGGTCTTTAAACTTCTCTGCATTCCTGTAATTATAATTCAGGTTGAAAAATTTTTTCCATATGTTTTGATCATCCATATTTCTCTTGTGAATTATGTGCTTTCATCTTTCATTCATTTATCCACTGAAAATGGCATTTATTTTTCTCTTTATAAGACACTTGAAGTTAAAGCGTTACCTATAATATGTATCGCAAGTATTTTTCTCATTTAGTTTTCAGATCTCATTTCCAGTAACAAGAGCAAGTGTGTGTGTGTGTACACATATATAATTTAGGAGTAAACTTTATAAGGGTTTTGCAGAGCATGTGAAGAACATTATAAAACCTTACTGAGGTAGTTAAAGATCACTTGAGTAAATGGGGAGAAATAACACTGTTCTATATTAGAAATATTCTTTCCAAATATATATATGGATTTTGTCAGTTTCAATCAAAACCACAAAAAGATGAGAACATCTTGGCAGTTTGGAGAATGTTGGAGATTCGAAGGGGCACATATGGCTTTCAAGTGTCAAAATATATTCTATAAATTATAGTCATCGAAAGAATATGATACTAGCATCAGAATAGATAAAGCAGTGAAAAGAAGAAATAGTTTAGAAACAAATCTGAGTATGGATAATAACTTAGCATATGCTGAAAGTTATATCACAAGTTAGTGGGAAAGAAAGGCTCAATCAAATAAATGTTGCTAGGCCAATCAGTTAACAATTTAGGGGAAAGTTGTGAAATCAGACCCTATATAATGATACAACAAAATGAAAATAAAAATTTAAAAAGCCAAAGAATTTATATGTAAAAAATGAAGATATATATTAGAAAGTTAATTAAAAGAACAATTGAAACTAAAGGAAAGCTATGGAATAGAGAAGATGTTTGCAAATAACATACCCGATAAAGGGTTAGTATCTGAAACATATAAAGAACTTATAAAACTCAGTACCCCAAAAATGAATAATCCAATTAAAAAATGGCAGAAGACATGAATAGACATTTTCCCAAAGAAGACAGACAGATGTCCAACAGACAAAGATGCTCAACATCACTGATCATCAGGGAAGAGCAAACCAAAACCACAATGAGATGTCACCTCACACCTGTCAGAATGGCTGGAATCAACAATACAAGAAACAACAGATGTTGGCGAGGATGTGAAAGACAGGGGAACCCTTTGGTGGGAATGCAAACTGGTGAAGCCATTCTGGAAAACAGTATGGAGATTCCTCAAAAAGTGAAAAATAGATCTAGTCCTATTAGATAGAAATATCCCAGCAATTGCACTACTAGGTATTTACCCAAACAATACAAAAATACTAATTCAAAGAGAGATATGCATCCCAATATTTATAGCAGCATTTTCTACAATAGCCAAACTATGGAAACAGCCCAAGTGTCCATCAACTGATGAATGGGTAAAGAAGATGTCACACACACACACACACACACACACACACACACACACACACACAGTGGAATTTTACTCAGCCATCAAACAGAATGAAATCTTGCCATTTGCAACAACATGGATACAGCTAGAGAATATTATCCTAAGTGAAATAAATCAGAGAAAAACCAATATATGATTTCACTCATATGTGGTATTTAAGAAACAAATGAGCACTGGGAAAGTGAGAGAGAGAGAAAGGCAAACCATGAAGCAGACTCTTAACTATAGAGAACAAACTGATGGTTACCAGAGGTGAGGGGGCTGGGGGGAAGGGTTAAGTAGGTGACGGGGATTAAAGAGTGCACTTGTGATGGGCACTGGGTGATGTGTGGAAGTGTTGAATCACTACATTGTATACCTGAAACTAATATTACACTGTAAACTAACTAGAATTTAAAACAACAACAAAAAAAGAAAAAGAAGTAAGAGAAAATATAGGTGTTTTTCTTTTTGGTTAGGGAAAACTATTCAAAATACATGGAAAACAATCATGGGCAAATTAGTAATAGAGTCCACGTTAGCAGTGAAAAGCTTTGGTAAAGCAAATAATCTAGCTCCTAGAATTGTCATCTCCTGTAGTTTCTCTAGGGTAAATAATCATGAATGTCCACAAACATTTAGCTACGATGATCTCATTATAGTATTATTTATAAAAGTGAAAAATTACTAGCAAACTAAACATCCAACTACAAAGAATTCTAATACATCCACAAAACAATACTATATTTGCTTTAAAATGGGCATATAGAAGAGTAGCTAATAAACTGACTATGATATGTTACTCATTGAAAAGAGTAAGTTCTGAAAGTTACGCATAGTGTGAGGCCCATTTTTGTTTCAAAACACAGAATCTATATTCAAGGAGAAATTTTTAAATTTTTAATAGTCTCTAGATAGTGAGATTATGGGTAACTTTTATTTTCTTCTACTTATCTGATTTTCATATTTCCTATAGTGAAACATAGTAGTAAATAAAAAGATTTTTAAATTAAGATAACAGAACTGAATGCATTTCCATGGAAACCGACTGAAGTAAAATGCTCAGAAGTACCTCAAGGAATTTGTCCATTCTTGTCACTAATATTTACTAACATTTGGATATATTGGCTAGTCAGTCAAATATTACTAACAAAAATGGAACAGCTCGTAAGCCTGTTTAAAATTTCAGTCTTGTAAGTTATGATGTATGTCTTAGTCTGTTTGGGCTGCTATAACAAAATGCCATTAACTCAGTGGCTTATAAACAACAAACATTTATTTCTCACAGTTCTGGAAGCTGGAAAGTCCAAGATCTTGGTGCTGGCAGAGTTGGTGTCTGGTGAGGGCCCACTGCCATGTTTTCACTGTGTCCTCACTTAGCAGAAAGGGTGAAGAGCTCTGCGGGATCTCTTTTATAAGAGCACTAATCCCATTCATGAGGGCTCCACCCTCATGACCTCATCATCCCCCCCCCCCCCCCACCGAAACCCCACCTCCCAATATCATCACATTGGGCATTAGGTTTCCACATAGGAATCTGGGGTGGAGACTGGGCACAAGCATTCAGTCTGTAACAATCTGTGTTCGAATGAGGTGGTCATTTCTCTGTTTTTGAGTGTACCAGCTGATGGACTGCCTCCAGGGTTCCTGAGCACTGTTTGGTACAATTAGTTGCACTTTGACTGCTTTTAAAATAACGAGTCATTTTCTCATACTCAGAGTTGTTCATTCAAGATACTGGTGCTGCTGCAGAGAACAGGAGACAGTGGGACGCACGAGCTCCTCAGACTCTCCTGGCGATGATGGCAGCCGGTGACATGACCTCCACCTGTTCCACTCTGCTGGGCGGGGAATCTACACTCGTTCAGTGTAAGTTGCCAGCAGGGGGAGACAAAGCCTCAGCTGCAGCTTTGTTGCTGGTGCTCAGCTTGATGCCACAGTTCTTTTAGTACAATCCCTATACATTTGGTATCAGATATATTTCAAAGACATTGTTCTGGTATCTGCCCCACCTCCTGAGAAACTTGCCTGCTAATTATGCTAGACAACTGATGACTCCAGTTCATGAGAATAGAAAGGAGGAAAGGTCCAGAATCCCCTTTCCTTGTGGGGAGGGAGATTGTCTAAGGAAGGACAGTTGGCTTGACTTGCCTTCCCATGCTAGCCCCATTACTTCCTTGGAATTTCTTGCAGGGGTTGGTTTTTTTTCCATCAATAAAATCTGAATTAAGATGATAGCTATCCACAAAGGTTAGAGTTAGCAGTACAAAAATACATAGAAAATTGCTTTGTAAACCAGTGTGCTATTAAAATGTTAGGAGTGTTTAGAATATGATATTTCCAACCTAAATTCCTTCGTTTACATCTGAGCTTCCATCATAGTCTTTCCATAGGAGGTGTTCACAGCAAAGTCTGGGTGTTATTTTTACAGGTGGTGAAGATTTTTCTTACTTCCTGTGTTCCTCTTGATAACATAGGGTTGGAGGAGAGCTGAACTTTATACCCATTTCATAACTTGAAATGTGTAACTATATCACAGACATTTATAAATGTGTGAGTTGACTTACATTTATACCATTAAAAAACACTAAAGTCCTCAAACTTGCAAGAGGGGCTTGCAAACATAATACAATTTCATCTGTTTGAAGCCAATGAGATAATAAGAAGGAAAACCTAGTTTAAAATAAACAAGTGGAATAGAAATTTTAACATACCAGTGTGGCTAGTTTACAAAGCACAAAAGTGACTCTCCTACCCATCAGCCATGTGTCATAAGTCACTAACCTTTTCTGTATCTCCGTTTTCTTGCTGGTACCATGAGGGGTGGGATTAGGTCACCTTCTAACATTCCATGATTTTATAAGAACTCAAATGAAGAAACATTTTTATTTTCAGTAACACAGTTTCCTCTTCAGGTGGCCAAGGGATTGTGACTGAAGGAGTTCCAGAAAATAGGAAGCAGTGGGGGCACGAAGTGCCAGGAGCTTTAATGAACGCTTTGGCTGCAGCACGTCTAACAAGTAGCTCATTTTATGCCAACGAAGGAGAATTGGGTATGCAGTTTATTTTTAAAAATATAACCAGTCACCTGAGGAACTTTGTCAGAGACCTGTAAATGTAGAAAGGGGATAAAAATACCTTCAGCCCAGAGAGAGAACTGTAAAGGTCTCAGCCTTTGCAGAAGCTGATTTGCTTTGTCCGAGCCCGTTCCAAATGCTGCTAACAAAAGACTCGAGCTTCTGAGAAAAGTGGGGTAATTTTCTTTAATGTAATCAGTTGACAACTGGTGAAAATAAGTAAGTAGGGCAAGTGGCTTTGTAGATGATGAGCTGGTCTTGCTTAGCTCTACCTGACGGTATATTTCTGACAGCTATTCAATAGACAGATTATCCTGTAGGCAATGAAAATGCATCATAATAGAGTTTCTTGGCTTTGGGAGGTTTTTTTTTTTTTATTTTGCCTCTGATTTTTAGCAAGATTATGTTTGTGTTTGCCTTATGGAAAGCCAACCATCATTTTCAAAAGTTTGAGGCAATTCCTATTTTGGGATTTTGTCTTTGCTCAGGTGTGCAATGCTACAAGGAAGTCGCCATAGGCAGGCTGGTGCCTCGGCACAGGTGCGAGGTTAGGGACCCTGTGTTTCAGGGCGAGATTGAGGTGGTAAGGAGGCACAGATACAAGCTAGGTATAACAGAGGCTGATAAAGAATGATGCAAAAATGTGTACAACCTTGAGAATAATGTAAGATAGGCACCTTCCTACCCAAGAGTGAGTCGGCCAGTTTGTGAAGCCTAAACTTCACAAACTTTGTGAAATCTTTGTGAAAGTTGAGTCTTCAAGAATGTAGAGAAGAAAGAACGTATCAGGTGGGAAGGACATACAGGTACACGAGTCTGTGTCAGGCCCTGAGAAAAGCAGTTTGACTAAAATCTAGGAGAAGCAGAGGGGGCCAGAGTCCCTGAGTGTAAGAAGTCCTTCGAAATCCTTCGCTCTTACTACTTCTGTCAGTTGACACACTGTTGCTTAAAACTTAAAAGGAGAAAGAGGGAGAAAGGGAGAAACTGCCTTTAAGACTCTCTTTCCAGTACTTTCAAATTATAAAAAGCAATGTAATTGCCTGTTTGTTTGCTCCCTTCCCTTCTGTGCTGGGGTAAAAGCATTGTCCCTGAGGATGGGACCGGAGGCGGTAAGGAGGAAGCTTTGGGCTGACCTGGTTTGGCCTGGAAGCCAAGGGCTGGGACCCCAGGCCAGGTAGGAAGGATGGTGTTCCTCTTTCAAGACACTGAGGTGGGGACATACTTGGTGGCTATGATGCCTCTGCTTCCATTTGTGCCTGTGATTCTTAGAGAGAGTCATAGAAAACCTTCATTTGGTCTGTCATGCCTAATTAATTAGTTCATGAACTTCATGTATTTTTACATAGATGGCTTTACATTGGGCATGTATGAACAACTGATCTATCAAGTGAGATTGGAAATAGGAATTTGGCTCCGCAGGTGCATTCAAAGCAGAGTGCAGATGTTTTCTTTTGCAACCTGCTCAGGGCGTTGACACGCCTCCCGCCCCAGCTATGCTCTGAGTGCTGGTGGCCTCTTGACTTCCTGTCTCTGGTCATCTTTTCTTCCTTCAGCTCAACCCTTTGCACTCCTGCCTGATAATCCTCCTCCTGAAAAAGACCAAATCTCTTTTCAGCTTAAAATCCTGCACAAGATTCTCTCTTACCCCCAGAATAAAATCCAGTCTCTTTGTGGACTCTAAGCACCTTGAAGATCAGGTCGGCCTGTTGCAATGCCAAGGATTGCTTGCATTTCTCCACCATCATATATTCCTCCCTTGGTTTAGAACGCCTGCCTCTTTGATCAGAATTATACCTCCTGCAAGATTTCCCTCTGATGAACCTCCTACCATTTCTGTCAGTGTGTTTCATCGGCGGTTACCCTTCTCTCCCTTCTTTTCCCTATAGTACCCAATGGGGCTTTTTGTAAAGGGGTCTGAAATAAAGTCGAACCTTGAATGCTCTTTTGCATGAGTGAGTGGAAGACCCTGTATCTATATTAATATGTCTCTCTTTAATCCAAAAAATTCTAGGAAGTCCTCAAGTTTGTCTACAGTCTCCCCACCTTTTCTCTTAGCTGCTTCTGACAATTTCACATTCATTCGGTCTGACACTTAAATTCATTCACGCTCAAATTATTTGTTAAACGCATGCAATATTGACCTTTCATCATTATATTTATTGTTTAAATTCATGTCATAAAAAAGATGCTGTCGTGAATTTATTTGCATTTTTATGATTGCTATGAAAAACCTGGATCTCAAACTACTGCCTGGGTCCTGCTGACGGGGAGCCACTGCTTTAAATGATTGAGAAAATATCTAAGCATGTTTCCCTTGCCTGCCTCTAGGTTTGGCTTCCCCGCTTAACACCCCACAAGACACTATAATTGTCTGATCATAAAACTAAAGTTCACTTTAATTTCTTATTCTTACTATCTTCCTCCCTAGACTATAAGCTTATGAGAGCTTTGTCTTGATTACCACTCTGCTTCATCTCTCTGTCCCTAGTGCCTAGAACTTAGTAGATGGCCATAGTCTTTGTGAATGAACATAAAACGACAGCACAGCTTTAGTATAACTTTATGCAAGGGCATGTAATTACCAATATTTGTATGGCCGTCAAGTTGGAGAGGGAAAAATTACAATGTGAAAAATAATTCTTATGGCTGTATAGAATCTTCACGAAGCCTTTCTGAATGTGTAAGTTTTACGAACTTTGATTGCAGGTATAATAGACACAGTTTATAAAGGCTTGTAAGGATTAGCTATTGGTCATACATTTAAGCATTTTTCATATACCCTTCATCAGTCTTTAGCTTAAACTTCCAATTTCTTTCATGCTTCTAGCCCTGCATTCCATTAAAAAAATGAAACTTTATCAACTACGTGTTTAATTTATCCTCACTTTAAGATAGCAAGTCTTTCATAAAATCCTTTTCAATGACTCTTACTAATAAAAGCTACACTCTTTAGATGAGGACAAGTACTTTTTTTTTTACATGTGCATAATTAATTCAGGTCAGTAATTTTGTTTATCATTTAACCACTCCAAGGGGATCCTTGGTGGGAAGGTAACCTCCATGTTTCTTGTGTAAATTTTCAGGCCACAGAGTTGCCTTGGTAACATCATGGTTGCACATCCTGATAACAGCTGATTTACATTTCTACAGTTAGCTATAGTCATTCTTTCTTCTCTCTTGTTAAACAAAAAAATAAAAGCCTGCTAAAATTGTCTTCCTAAAACAAGAAACCAAAAACTATGAATCCCATACCAAGTGGAATATTCAGGCTGCTATTAATCAGCCAGACAACCTCACAGATGATATGTATCAATCAGTTCGTTTATTTTATAGTGCACTTTAGGAAACAATATAAGCTATGAGTTGGGATGAAACATATTGATTAAAAATAGGTAAATATTTAATTACAGTGTGGTGAAATTTCTACTTGTAGTTATGTACGTGAATAGTTTACCAGAGAGAAAAAGCCACACTTTGTTTTGTTTTTTTTTTTATTTTTTTATTTTTTCAACGTTTATTTATTTTTGGGACAGAGAGAGGCAGAGCATGAATAGGGGAGGGGCAGAGAGAGAGGGAGACACAGAATCGGAAACAGGCTCCAGGTCTGAGCCATCAGCCCAGAGCCTGATGCGGGGCTCGAACTCACGGACCGCGAGATCGTGACCTGGCTGAAGTCGGACGCTTAACCGACTGCGCCACCCAGGCGCCCCCACACTTTGTTTTTAATTTCACCTTTGGAGAAAAGTTACTATTTCTAATACCACTTGTTAGCAGTGGGTGGGATTTTTTCCTGGAGACTAACGTGAAACACTGTTTAGACCCCTAGGAACCAGATGGTTGCAGAGGACATGTGGGAGACGTAGGTTATGGTGGGTTCCCAAAATGGGCATAGTCCTTCACTCTTCCCTTTATCTGTGCCCTTTTCAATATGACTTTGCAGCTTCTCCATCATTAAATGGCTTTTTTTTTTCTTTCCCCTTGAATATCAATTGGCCTTTGTAATTTGCTTCGGCGGGTAGGATGAGTACAAGTGGTGGTGTGCCAAATCTGAGTATACAAGGAACTGCTACTCTTTTTTTTTTTTTTTTTGGAAATCTGTCTATCTCTCAACTCCCTCCAGTTGGCCTGCTGGAAAATGAAGAGACCATGTGGAAAAGAGAGGCAAGCCACCCAAGAGAGGCCACAGTAGGCCAGCCAGCCTCCAGCTGGCCTGGCAAGTGACCGCACATGCATGATGGGGCTCAACCAAGACCAGAAGAGCCAGCCAGCGAAGCCCAGTCCGAGCTGCCTAACAGCAGGGTAGTGACCTAAATAAATGGTTACTGTTTTAAACCACTAAGTTACGTGGTGGTTTATTCTGGAAAAGCTAACTAATATAGACATGTATAACAAAATTCCCAAAGTGGGAGTCAAACGGAGGCTAAGCCTTTATAGTTTTAAAGCTAGCTTAGGAAGCCAGCATTTTAAATTTTTTTGTAAACCATTTTAGTGTTTTAGATTTTAAGAAAATGTCTCAACATTGCTATTGATCGCACCAAGGTTGAGGTTATGCAGGAAAAAAGCCTAGACATCAATGATAAGCATATGAAAAGATGCTCAACATCACTCATCATCAGGGAAATTCAAATAAAAACCACACAGAGATATCATTTCACATCTGTTAGGATGACTGCTAGCCAAACAACAACAACAACAAAAACAACAACAACAAAAAAAAAACAGAAAATAAGTGTTGGTGCGAAATAATTAGAACCCTTATGCACTATTGGGGAGATTGTAAAATAGTGCAGCCATAATAAAAAGCATATGGAGGTTCCTAAACAAAATTTAAATAGATTTTCCATATAATGCAGCAAGTCCTCTTGTGGGTGTATGTCCAAAAGAACGAAGAGATATTTTTGCACATCCATGTTCATTGTAGCAGTATTCACTGTAGTCAAGATGTGGGAGCAACCTGGAATGTCCATCAGTGGATGAATGGGTAAGGAGAATGGGCATATTCATAGCATAGAATATTATTCAGCCATAAAAAAGAAAGAAAGAAATCACGTCGTATGCTACAACATGGGTGAAACTTGAGGACAGTATGCTAAGTGAAATAAGCCAGTCACAAAAAGACAAACACTGAATGAGTCCACTTGTATGAGGTATTTAGAGAAGTCAGACTCTTAGAAACAAAGTAGAATCGTGATTTCCAGGGGCAGGGGAGAGGGAGAATGGGGACTTGTTTAGAGTTTCAGCCATGCAAGATGAAAAAGTTCTAGAAATCTCTTATACAGCAGTGTGCATATAGTTAACAATACTGTACACTTAAAACTTGTTAAGAGGGTAAATTTATGTTACGTGCTTCTTATCATAATCTAGAAAACACAGACATTAATGAAAGAATAATTCAGAATATCTTAATTGTCTCCTAAATCATTTTATTATGGTATCTCTGAATCAGGATCCAAAAATTTTGATTGATAATATAAAAAAAATAATTCAGAGGAGTAATACTCTGAATGTGAGGCATTTTAATTATATGTTATTCAATTTGTTTAACTTATATTTTCCTTTTTAGGAATATACCAGACTGATACAATATTTACAATGTATGCTTAGAAAGGACTAAAAGTTCTTATAATAGTTTATGTTTATAAAAAATAAATTCTAAGGGCTAAGGAATCATTTTGTCATTTTGTCAGTAGCATTTTCTTTGCTATTGGTGTGTAAAATAATAATGCATCTTATAATCAGCGGATGAAGAATAGTGTGACCCAATAAAGATGGCAAAGCTTAAGTTTTTACAACAGAAGATTTTCTTAAATTTTCTATACAATCAAAGCATCTATCCCCAAAGTGGAAGTATTTTGTCTTTTCATCTCTCTCTCTTTTTTAAGTTTATTTATTTTGAGGGAGGAGGGGAAGTGGGACAGAGAGAGAGGAAGAAAGAGAATCCCAAGCAGGCTCCGAGCTGTCAGGGAAGAGTTGGACACGGGGTTCAACCCCACAACCGTGCTATCACAACCTGAGCCGAAATCAAGAGTTGGACACTTAACTGACTGAGCCACCCAGGCGCCCCTTGTCTCATCTCTGATCCTGATTCCTCTCACTTCTCTTTCTGGTCTTGTGTTGCCTACCACCTTCAAACAATGTGCGATTGTTGGGATGTCACTTGTCATTCCTGTCATATTCTCTGATTTAATGGAAATGATTCAAAGGCTTTACCTTTATGGTTGATGTTCAATACAGGATTTGGGTATACCCCTCATTGGGTATATAGGCTGGGATGTTTTAATCTCTCTTATTTCTTTAACAGTGGGAACATTAAAACAGTGGCTTCCTAGAGAAGATGAGGGAAATGTGGGAATGGCCCCTGGCATTGAAGTAGATGAGGAACAACCAAGATCGGACGATGATGATACGTAAGTAGGTCCTATCCAGATGCCTGAGTGAAGCGCTGGTAGAAAGTGAAAATGCTGTTGTTGAGACTTGAACAATAGTCTCAGAGACCTAGCTAAGGAGACCAAGTTTTACTACACATGTGGGTTTGTTTCCAGGCTCTCTGTTCTTTTCCAATGGCATTGTTTCCTATCTCTGCAGGAGTGATGTTCTGTCTTAAATTACTGTGCATTTACCATATCTCTTGGTATGTGGTAGGACTAGTTTCATACCTTCTTGTCTCCATATCTTTTTCTTCAAAGTTATCTTAGCTATTGTTGCCTTAAGGTATACTTAACACATACATCTTTGCATTTTATTGTAAAGTGTCATGAAAAGCTTTGTTGGGATTTTGATGAGAATGACATTACATTTGTTGAGTAATTTATAGGATTTGACATCTTTATGACCATAAATCTGAACATCCATGAATATAGTATAGCTTGAATCTCTTTATGTCTTTTCATAAAATATCCTTCAGCATTTTTGTAGTCTTATTCACAACATATAGGTAACACCTAACTTTTTTTGTTGTTGCTGTTGTCATTATTAAGGGGGTCATTTTTCTTTTACTGTGTTTCACCTTGGCTACCATGAGTGCATAGAACACTATTGATGTTGTATCCTGTAACCTTACTGAATTCTCTTATTAGTTCTAAAACTTGGAGTCTGTTGAATTAAAAAAAATTTATCATGTGCTTTTTAAAAATTTTTTTAATTTTTTAAATTTACATAGGTAATATAGTCACATGGCTCCAAATTCAGAGGTTAAACTTTGTCATAGTCTTCCTGCTATGACAATTCCTCTTCCCAGAGGCATTAAATATGCCTCATGTGCACACCTCCCCTGAGGAATTGCATTAAACTCTAAGCCAATATGTGTATCTTGTGTATGTGTGTATTCTTTTTCTTTTTTGTACGAAGTTTCATAGTGCACATACTCTCTTGCAACTTCCTTTTATCACTTAACACTGTAGCTTGAATATGTATCATAATGTACAAATAGTAATTTACATACTATTTGTATGTACATTTGTAATTGAATATTGTCAGATTTCCCTTCACAGAGGTTAACACCTATGAACATTTCCACTGACAGAGTACAAGAGTGCCTGTGACCTTGTACATTTTCTTGTTTAGTGTGTTACCAAACTTAAGGATGATTGCACAACTGATAGGTTAAAAAGTGACATTTAAGGTTACGTTTAATTAGCATTTCTTTTCTGAGTAAGGTTGTCTTTCCAAATGCTTAAGAACCATCTTTATTTCCTCACTGGAGACAATTATTCATAGCCTTAGCCATTTAAAAAATTAGGCTACTAACATTGTATTGATTTGGGGAACCTTGTGTATTTTAAGGAGATTAATGTTTTATCTATAATATGGCTCTAGAATATTTTCCCCAGTTTTTTGTTTGCATTTTGATTTTATTTATAGTGGCTCATGATGTAGAAATTTCTTATTTTTTATCTAATTAGGTTTATCAATTATTTCATAAGAAATGATACCAGAATTTTTAAGTACTTTTATGATTAATTTTCTGTTTAAATATTTTAATCCTCTTGGATTTCACTCATATTACACTGCAAAGTGTGGCTCTAACTTTATTTTTTTCCAAATAACTTCTTCCTTACTCCAACACCATTTATTGAAAATCTTTATTTTTGCTACCAATTTAAAATGTGACTTCTATGACGTGCTACATTTTTATATGTGCTTGCATCCAATTCTTATTCTTGCTAGTCTAATTATTATATTATAAACATATCCATAATATGAATTATTATTTTGGAGGGCTAGTTCCCTTAAATACTTTGCTTTTGTCAGTATTTTTCTATCGAGTTTTGCTTGTTTATTTTTCCATACGAACATTAGAATCAACTTGTCTAGCAAGTAAAGGAGGGCAGGAAGGAAGGGAGGAGAGAATTTTCTCAGCCTGCTTCCTGGCAGTAGAATTTTAGAGTCCAGCCATTTCTTTTCAATTAGGATTGTCTGTGTCCCTTTTGGTTCAACCTGGCTATGTTTCTGCATATATATTTCTTTCAAAAATCACATAGGTTTCTGCAAATCTTACTGGGATTCACTTCATTAGACAAAAGCCAGTTCCACAGATCTTTTTTACCTAAGTGCTTCCCTGTCTTGAGCTTTTGCTTAGATTCTGAGGGACAACACCCTGAGGCACTGTGGAAACCCTTCCGTTTGAGAATGATTTTGAGATTCTTCCACATTGACATGTGTATCAATTAGCCACTTCTTTTTATTGCTAAGTACTGTTCCATTATATAGAATATATATAATTCTATTATATATATATATAATAAAATATATAATATATATAATATATATAAAATACATAAAATATATATTATATATTATATATAATATAAAATATATAATATATATATTACCACAATTTAGTAATACATTCACCTAACAATTGATGTTTGGATTGTTTCTAGTTTTGGGCTATTATAAATAAAGCTGCTATGAATATTTATGTACATGTCTTTGTGCGGACATAAATTCCATTTCTCATGAGTAAAACTGTAGGAGTGGAATGACTGAGTTGTTTGGTAGGTGAATGTTTAACTTCTTAAAAAACTGCCAAACTATTTTCCAAAGTGGTTGTGTCATTTTACATCCCCCTGTTGAATGGTGTATAAGATTTCTAGTTGCTCTACATCTTTATCAACACTTGGCATGATCAATTTTTAAAAATTTAACCAATCTTGGGCGCCTGGGTGGCCTAGTCGGTTTCGGCTCTTGGTTTCGGCTCAGGTCATGATCTCGTGTGTTTGTGTGTTCCAGCCCCGCGTCGGGCTCTGTGCTGGCAGCCTGAAGCTTGCTTGGGATTCTCTCTCTCCCTCTCTCTCTGCCCCTCCCTCCCTCACACTGTCTCTGTCTCTCTCAAAAAAGTAAATAAACTTTAAAAATAATAAAAATAAATAAAAGTAAGATAAAAATAAAAATTTAACCAATCTAATGGGTATGTGTGGTGTCTATGTAGTTTCTGAGTTACAGGCATTATTTAGATAGCCTTGCTACCAGTTCTTTGTTAGATATATATATTTTGCCAATATATATTGGCCAGTATTTTCCCAAGATTTCTGTCTGGGATTTCTTGTTATGGTATGATTCAGGTTTGAAGTTTCTGACTAATGCATTTTTTAATCACTTTCAAAAATCAGAGTTTCCAATTTATTTGCATTTTGGACAGAGACCATCATCTGAGTTTTAGTGGTTTGGAAAAGTTTATTGGGACTCCCTTTGCTATTCAGTATAGTATTAATTTTATGACAGTTATATATGTACTTGAAAAAAATGCATATTCTTACTATTCTGGGGGTACGTATGTTCTATATAATTATCAAGCTTAAAACATTTTTTCGTTAAACTACTCTATGGATTTTATTTCCCCTTTATCACTTCTAGATAGAAGTACATTAAAATCTTCAGCTGTGTTTGTGGCTTTGATCATTTCTCCTATTTCTATCTCCTTTCAATGTACTTTAAATATACAGAAGCTGTGTTCTAATTTATGATTGTAATATCAGTTTGATAGAGTATCCCCCCCTTTTGTACATTATGTATTGTAAATTTGTCCCTATTAAAGCTGTTTGCCTTAAATTCTATTTTGTCGGATACTGACATTGCTATTCCAACTTTTAAGTTATTTTATTTAACTTTTAAGTATTTTTCTGACATGAATTTTTTTTAATTTTTATAATTTCCATATGGTTTCATTATAATGTGTTTCTTATAAAATGCATGTAGTTGGTTGATTTGCTTCTTGTCCTGTAATAACCTCTGTCTCTTAATGAATTTAATATAATAAAAATCATTAGAATTATTGACATATTTGGGGTTCACTCTATATTTTAAGCTTGATTTTGTATTTTCTGTTTGTTATCATTTGTCATTTCCTTCCCCTCCTGTTTTCTAACCTTATGTTACAATCACAAACTTTTCTGTATTACTCCTGTTTTCTCTGTACTAGTTTTAAAGATACAGATTATATTTCTATTCTTTTAATAGCTAGCTCTTATGTACTTCCTACAGATTTATCTAACAAATTCAGAAGTTGTTCAGTTATCTTTTTTTCTTCCCAAATATGACAAACACCTTTAACTGCTAAAACCCTTCCATTCTAATATTGTTATCTAGGGTTACAATTTTACTTAAAAAACATTTTTTTTATTGTGGAAAACTTCAAACATAGTGAAAGTATAGAGAACAGCATAATGAACCCTCTTGTATTCACCATCTTTACTGCCTGCCCCCTGTACCCTTACACTTTTTTTTTAAGGTTTGGAACATTTTAAGTCTGATCATGTAATCCAATTTTACCCTTTTTTTTTGATGAAATATATATATTTTACTCTCAAACCTAACTCAGTTTGCCATTCTAGTTTATCATTCTTTGAATTTGCCATGGTTTTTTCTAGTCTGTGCTTTTCTTCCTATTTCAGTTTTCTTCTTGCTGATGTATATTCTCCAATAATTCTTTAAGATAATATTCTCTAATAATTCGGTGGGTGGTAAATTTTGGATATGTTTGCATATCCAAAATTATTTTATTGCTTTATTTATAATTCAGCTGGGTATACAATTTTAGGTTGACAATGGTTTTTCTCTTGATCTTTATTATTGTTGATGAGAAATATGCTGATTGTTTTTCCTTTATAGATATGCTTTCTCCCCAGCATGTTCATAATTTTCTTTTTATCTTTGTGTTCTTATGTTTCACTGTTATATGTCTGGGTCTGGATTTCTCTTTTATCCTGCTTGGCTCACTTTCTTGTGAGGACCTATGACTGTCTTTAGTTCTGGAACATTTTTACTTATTACTTTTCCAAATGTTTTTCTTATTCCCTCCATTGTGGCCCTCAAAACAGATATGTTTTGGAGCTTCTCAATCTGTCCCCAGTAACATCTAGTTGTACTTTTGTATTTTTTATTCATCTCTGTTCCATTCTGGGTGAATTCTTGAATACTATTTTCAAACCTATCTGGGTATCATCTATTAAGTTTTTTTTTTAGTTTATTTATTTTGAGAGAGAGAGAGCATGAGCAGGGAAGGGGCAGGGAGAGAGGGAGAGAGAGAATCCCAAGCAGGCTCCATACTGTTGGCACAGAGCCTGATGTGGGGCTCAAACTCATGGACCATGAGATCATGACCTGAGTCAAAACAAAGAGTTGGACACTTAAACAACTGAGCCACCCAGGTGCCCCATCATCTATTAAGTTTTTAATTTAAATGATTATGTATCTCTAAGATTCATAATTGTTTATATATTTATGTGTTGTTTAATTATTGCATAATTATTTCCCCTAATTTGAAAACATTTTAAAATGGATGCTGTGCTTTATCATTTTGAACATACTTTAAGAGCATTATAAAAATCCTCCATAAAAGTAATAAATCTGGACCTAACTCCTCCTCCAACTTTAAATAAAATTTCTTGCCTATCTTTCTGACCATTAGATTTATTCATGTGTTTTGGAATTTTAGTTTATAGACTTATTTTGCTTTAGAAGTTTCATTTTGAAGTTTTGTTTTTTAAATTTTCTTTCTTCCCTTTCTGTCTCTGTGCTCCTCCTGTGTATCTGCCCTGCACACTCTCCCCCCATCCACCTCACTGTTGTCATGTGACCATGCCTCCTACCTCACAGAGATAGCATGGGTTTGTAAGCGGAACGGTCTTGATTGTCTAGTTCCATAACTGCTCTGTCCACAGAAGTCCTCATTGCCTTCTCTCTCCCTATCTTCCTTCTCAGACAAAAAAACTGTCTCCCTTCCTGCTGAAAGCACATCCTGGCATGGGTACTCTGAATCCCAGCCTTTTTCAGAGAACTTGTTCCCGTCTGTTTTTTTTTTTTTTTTTTTTTTAGAGAGAGAGAGACAGATTGTGAGTGGGGCAGAGGCAGAGCGGGGCAGAGAGAGAATATTAAGCAGGCTCCATGGTCAGCATGGAGTCCAATGCAGGGCTCTATCCCATGACCCTGGGAACATGACCTAAGCCAAAATTAAGAGTTGGGTGCTCAACTGACTGAGCCACACAGATGCCCCTCTCTGTTATTTTTAATGTCTCTCTATTCCCTACTTTCTCTCAGCATATAAACGTGCCCAAATCTCTCCCATCTTGAGAAACACCAAAAAATCACTGCCTTCATGTTCTCAAGTTAACACTGTCCTTTCAGAGCCAGGCTCCCCTCAGAGGAGTTTAAGCTCCTTGTTGTCACTTGCTTACCTCCTACTGCTTTCTTGATCCACTATAGAATCACTCCTGCCACACAGCAGGCCAGAAATGTTCTTGCAAAGGTCATCTATTACCTTGAAATTGCCAGGTCCAACTGTCATTTCTGTCTTCCTCTTACTTGGCTGCTCCCTATCTGGAAATTCTCTGCCTCCTTGGCTTCCATGATGAACACTTTCTTGGCTCTTACCAGATCTTCCTCAGCCTCTTTACTTGCCATGTAGATATCTGGGATTGTTAACATGGTTTTCTTGGTCTCTTGCCTTCTTCCCTTCTAAAAATATCAGTGTTGAGGTCTTAGATGTAATTTCAGTTCCTCGTCCTACTAATTAGTATCTGTGAGACCTTGGGCAAGTTTTATTAACCTCTCTGAGCCCAGATTCTTAATAAATTGATGGTGAATATGTCTACCTCAAATTGTTGCTAGTATTAGATGAAATACAGTTATGTAAGTGCTCGAGGGCAGTCACTGGTGTATAATAAGGGCTCACTATATGGCAGCTGTTTTTTATTCTTTTATTATTTTTTCTCTTCTTCACTTTTTAAACATAAGAGTAGATGGGTATTAATAAATATAATTAAAATTGTCAAACACAAGTCCAACTAAATAGAATACTGATTATCCCAACATTGTTTTTTTGTCATTCTTAGGAAAACCAGATGGATATAATAAATAACGCATTACGTAGGGGAAAATGCATCTATTAAATTGCTCAAGTGGGAGTGGGAAATGAGAAGGGAAACTACCTTTCATATGTATTTTTAATTATTTTGATATCATAAAGTTGATTTTTAACTCTTATTTCAGAAATTTTGAAGAATCTGAAGATGAGTTGAGAAATGAAGTAATAGAATCCCTAGAAAAACTTGCTACTTCTAAAGAGGAAGAAAACAGAGAAGAGTCTCCTGGTTTTTCTAAGGGTGCTGGAAAGTTAGGAGGAAAGGAGATAAGCATACAGAAATATGCAGAATTCAGTGAAGGTTTAGAGAATATTTCTACTCGATCTAGTGACAAAGTATGCATTGCTGATGAAAACCAAGAAACATCAACAACCCATCAAAATGTACAAGTGTGATTATTGTACTTTTTCTTAAGTGATAAGTTAGTATCTATTAGGTATAGTGTCTGGGCACAAGTCATTAATATTCATTCTGTAAGAGTTTGCCAGTCATCCCAGGGGTTTATTAATTTTTCTCCCAATTTAGACAGTAAGGCTGACTAATTTGAGTATAGAAATTAATATTTTTACTTTAAAATTTCTATCAAGAAATCTTTCAGACAGTAGATGTGATAGGCAGAGTAATGAGTCTCTCTTCCTGCCACCCCGCAGCACACCCAGTGATGTGAATATATTGTTACATGGTAAGGGGGAATTAAGGTTGCAGGTGGAAGTAAGGCTGCTACTCAGCTGACCTTCAAATAGGGGAGGGTGTTTTTGATTACCCAGGTGGGCCCAATGTAATCAAAGGGTGTTTAACAGTGGAAGGAGGCAGAAGAGAGAACCAGAGAGATGTCAGGGTGAGCGGGGATGAGCCTGGTGCTGCCACCTTTGAAGATGTAGGAACATGCCATATGCCAAGGAATACAGGCAGCTTCTAGAATCTGGGAAAGGCCAGGCAATGGACTCTCCCCAGAAGCCCGCAGAGGGAACACAGTCTTGCTGACATCTTGGTTTTAGCTTCTGGAAATCCACTTTAGACTTCTGACCTACAGAATTGTAAGATAATAAATTTGTGTTGTTTTAACTAAGTTTGGTAGGTTTAAATTTGATAAATTTAACTAAATTTGTTAAGACAATGGTAGAAGACTAATACAATGTACAAACAAATTCATTTAGAATAATCTGCCATTATAGAAAACTGTGATTTGGGGATTTCTGAAGTCATACTGAATACACTTTTTTGAAGCTGATGTTGACACTCAAGAGAGTAGGGTAATTGAGCAAAGAGAGGATCAAGGCCCATCATGTTAATTACGCACCAAATATTCATTTTATTATGTTTTATTGAATTAATTCCTAATAGCTTCAAATGTATAGATTATAAGCTTCTTGAAGGCAAGAAGCCATCATCTTACTTACATCTTATATCTTATTTACATTGTACGCTGATCTTTTTATATATGGTGCTTAGCAGAGAACAATCCCAGTGTTGAACATGTGCCTGGAGTTTAATAGATATTTGTTGATTTATTGTGTTGCTTCTATGAAGGACAGAGTGGTTATAATTCTAAGTGGTAGAATTCTCCCTGAAATAGATGCTCTGGAATAAAAATAAAACTGAAATTACACATTAATACATTGCTAAGCCAATGAAACAAGGATGAGGAGGGGTTGGTCAGAATATTTCTAAGGTCTGCTTAGTATTTACATTTGATATAATTTTATTAAATGTGGGGAAAGTATCAAGATTCCCCTAACTGTCGGATGCATCCTGTATTTTCCTTGGTGAAAGTTCCTTTCAGCTTGGTGTATAGGGTTTCAAGCTGCTCTTTAAGAGAGATGGCTCAGTATGGTCACATCATGAGGCTGAGAATACTTAAAAATTTCTTACCACTGTTAATTTCAACCGTGGTAACACATGACCCCGAAAGATTAAAGCATCATTAATCCTACTGACTCTTACTGGTCAGCATATACGTGTTTTACTTTTGGAACATTATGTGGTTAAGGCATGATAAATCTGTTAATATGCTTTATTTAATCCTCATTCTAGACAGTAATTGAATGCATGGAGAATGCAACTTGGTTCCTGAAAATTCCAAAGATCCAAAGACCAGTCAGTTATATGCAGAGAAAAAGGAAAAAAAGAATGAATGTTTAGGGTCAATGTTTAAGGGGCGCCTGGGTGGCTCAGTCGGTTAAGTGTCCGACTTCAGCTCAGGTCATGATCTCCCAGTTTGTGGGTTCAAGCCCCGTATCGGGCTCTGTGCTGACAGCTGAGCCTGGAGCCTGCTTTGGATTCTGTGTCTCCCTCTCTCTCTGCCCCTCCCCAGCTCACGCTCTCTCTCTCTCTCTCTGTCTCAAATAAACATTAAAAAAAAATTTTTTTTAAAAAGGTCAATGTTTAAGAATAAGCCTATCAAGTTTGCTCCAATGACAAGATGTGTGGCTAAAGTCTCCTTTAGCTAACAGCCACCAACCCTTATTCATTGTAAGATTTTAAAATCTTTGCTATAAAGTAGGAAGTATTCATTGTGATAAGTATACATATCTTCAAGGTTTTTCAACCTACGTCAGCTCCTAATTCACCTTACCCATCTTACGTACACTGTTATCTAAATCATGTTCTTGAGGCACAATTGATTACTTTATTCTGGGTTTAGACGTAGCTGCATTTGTTAAGTTGAAACTATTGATTACACCTGCATGTGTTTTTAGAATAAATTTTATTAAAAATTATGCATCTTAGGAACTATGTATCCTAGCTATCAAACTGATCATTCTTTAAATGTGTACAAACTTTTAACTTCCCTTTTAAGTATCTCGTACCATGTATAGTCCAAGTGAGCACGTAGCACTCGAATATTAGAACTGATGCTTCTTTGAAGCCAAGGGTGGCCTTAGATTTAGGGTGGGGACAGAGGAAAAAGAATTAGCTGAGGAACAGTGGGAGAGGTAGGGGAAATTACAGGGGCATAATGTGATTCTAGTAATTTGCAGAATTGCTTCTCATGGTTAACTTTTTTGTTGTGTCCACTGAAAGATTTAGCACAGACACCCTGTTCATATTAGAGTCCTGGAGTCTAGGGTACATTCACATAATTAAACACAAATATTCTGAAAGCACTGATAATTACAGGGGCTACTCAGAATTTTGTCTATGACTTTGTAAAAAAGAAACCCCAAAATTATTAAAACATATGAAGTTCTGCAGTGTTTGGTAGGTCCGAAATATTCATTAAAAGGAAAAAGTCTATTAAACTTGACAACCTATTCTTCTTGGGTACTAGAGGAGAGACAATTTTACTTTATCTTTAAATTTTTCATTTTTATTTTTTTAAATTCTTGGCATGTGGAGCTTAGAAGTACTCGTAGTAGATAACAAATAATTCTGAATTGAGAGCCTGCATGAGGGGACAAATACACCATATGCGGAAAAGTATCCAAGAGACTGAAAACCACTTCCTATCATACTTAGAGACAAATAGATTTTGTATCTATTAAAGTCATATTTAGATACAAGTAGATATACAAAGAACAGGTATTTTGTTATGCACAACTGAAATAAGAATGTGCATCCCCACTGCTGTGGGTTCAAAATATACTGTGTTTGGACCACTCAAAAACAATGTTTTACAGGAACAGTCACTCAAGAGTTCTTCAGACAGACAGCAGACATATTGCTTTGATGCTTTCCATGGTTATCAGTCCTTCCAAAGAAAAAAAAAAAAAAAAGACATGTCCTATCACATTAGGAACAGGGAAGATGAACATATATGCAAATTATGTTTCCAGTGATGTTTGTGACAAATGAAAAAATAATTTTGAAGAAACAAGATTAAGAAATGCTTTATGGGATTTCAGAAACCGTTCTTCCTTTACGTCTTAGTCCCTTTCAATTTCTTTATCTTTATTCTCATGATTTTCTATGGGCTGATGGGTAAACTGCGGGGGCGGTGGTATGGATCTTACCACAAAAGACTAGCTGTAAGATAAGAAAGTGAACTGGGCTGGAGTCAGAAGTCCCAGGTTATAATTCCGATTTTTGTCCTTAAACAGCTTTGTGAAATGGAGTCTTTAGGTCTTTAAATTATTCTTGTCTGTAAAGTTGAAAGGAAGAAAACTGGATTAGAGGATTTGTAGGGTTCCTTCCAACTCCAATGTCCACTAGTCTTCTTTTTCTTTTTAAATGTTTATTTTTTTTTTTATAAGAGAGAAAGAGCACAAACAGGGGAGGGCAGAGAGGGTGACAGAGGATCCAAAGCGGGCTCTGCGCTGACAGCAGAGAGCCTGATGTGGGGGACTCGAACTCATGAACTGCGAGATTATGACCTGAGCCAAAGTTGGATGCTTAACTGACTGAGCCACCCAGACACCCCCATCTTTCTTTTCTAAACTGAATCCTCTCCACCCAAAGCTATGTTGGTGTGTCATATCATCCTGGGCCTCTGTTTTGCTGCTTTTTGACCTGATGACAGAAGGTGGCCTGTAGATGAGTCAACGACTGGACATAGACGATGAAGCTGGCCAGGTCGGTGACTGGATGAGAGGAGTTTGGAAGGGAAAAACATACCTCTTTCACATGCTCCTAACACAAAAATGTATCAGATTGACAGAGAAAGACAGATACATGATTTCACTCATGTGGAATTTGAGAAACTAGATGACCATAGGGGAAGGGAAGGAAAAATAAAATCCAGAGAGGGAGGCAAACCATAAGAGACTCTAAATACAGAGAACAAACTGAGGGTTGATGGTCATGGGTGGTTGGGGGGCGGGGAATTTGGGTGATGGGCTTTGAGGAGGGCACTTGTTGGGATGAGCACTGGGTGTTGTATGTAAGGGATGAATCACAGGAATCTACTCCTGAAGCCAAGACTACACTGTATGTTAACGAACTTGACAATAAATTTAAAAAAAAAAAAAAAAAAAAAAAAATATATATATATATATATATATGTATCAGACTGTGCAGGAGGTGGATTCACTGAACTAGAAGGAGCTAATTATGTGTGCAGAAAATGCCAAACGCTGTAGTTCTCTGTAATTGCATCTGCACAGCCACATACTTTTCGTGCTAGTTATTCAGCACAGAAGTCCCGTTAAATGTGTACTGATTTGTAGCTACTGACTTAGTAACCACTCGCCTACACTGAACCCTAATGCATTAATAAGGAGGATTACGAAAGACATATACTATAAATTGTTATCTTTAAATTACTTTATAAAGGTACCTTTAAAAAACTTGGATAGTTATCCAGGTATTTTTCACATACTTTCCATCTCAGAATCACTAGGAGGTAGTGAGGACAGGTATTAGCATCTCCAGATTATAGATGTAGAATGTAAGTTTCAAAAAGATTAAGCAGCAGCTTGAGTATTAAGAGATCAGATGTTGGCAAATGATGACACAGGGATCAGGCCCAGGTGTTTTGCTAGTCCGGTGCTCTTTTCAAAATGCCACCTCATCATCTTACAAGGCATGATGCTGATAACGGAGACTGGGTGGACGGATCTGGCTACTCTATCATGGCTATCAGAAAAACCACTTATCAAAGCGATCTCACTCAGACCTTCTGAACAACTTAAACCTAGCTTCCAGCCTCCTGCGATGTGGAAATGTGAAGGGATGATGAGAGCATCCTTCTCAAATGTACTGAGAGCACCAGACAAAAACCTAATTTCACAAATATGGAGCCGTGGGAAGGATCTCTGGAGGCCTCCTGGCCTCTGCGAGCCGACACATGCCCACAGGGCGGTCCCAGTCCCTGCCTTTTCACTACAAGCTTTCAGAACATGATTAAGCCTGCTTAAAGTCTCTTTTCTCTTTTAAGAGAATCTTTAGATATATCCAAGAAGGTCATCCACAATTATTATTTAGGATTTAAATGGACTAGAATTTTTCTGTGTTCCCAAGATAGCAAAACATTTCTAAAGTACCAAACTATTAATTATCAGTCTTCCATTTTCCTTTCGACATTTCCTTTTTTTCTAAAGGTAAATTCTCTTTCCTGGGTTCTAAAGTACAGTCATTTGACAAATAGGACTTGAAAAATGTGAATTAGACCAAAATTAAGATGGTTGGTTCATTTTTTTCTTTCAGATCCATATTTTTCAGAATTTGAGACAAAATCCTAATCTAAAATTTTTTCATTGAAACAATTTAGGTAATTTTGACCTTTGTCATTTTCACTGAAATAAATATCCTGTCTATATACATACTGCTGAGAGCACTGCTTAGGCTGACTTTATTACAATACAGAAAAAGCTTAGAAAAATTACTCACGAATGAAGGTATGTCGCCATTTCATATAAAATATCTTTCATCTGTACAGATATGACATTATTTGAATAAGCTCTCCACAGATGACAGGAACGCCAGTTCAAACTCCTGATCAGAGAATCTGCTTACAGATGCCCGAGCACTGCTTCGGATTTGGAGTCTCTTTTCCTCAGACATGGAAAGAATATGAGCCATGGTTTCCGCATAGCCTTCTTCGCTTTCAGCCAGAAATCCAGTTATCTCTCCTTCGTGAGGGACGACAATGTCAAGCTTGGGGCCCCCTGAATTGTGTGCGAGGATAATCGTGCCAGCTGCCATACACTCGACAACTCCTGAGAAAGAAACAAAACCATGTGGTCTTTGAACTTTCTGAGAGTGTTCACAAGAACAAGGATGAGCAGAAACCTCTATAAATTTTAGGACACCCATGAGAAATTTAACCACATGTCTGTTGGGCCTATAAATCTGCTCACTAAACTTCCATGGTGTCAAGTAATTTTAAGTTTTTTAGTTTTTAGCCTTCACAATAATGCTACTTGGTTCTTAATTGAAACAGACAAGCAGGCGAGAGAACAGTCTATAAAAAAAAGATCCCTGCAGGTAATAAAACGAAGTAGACTACAGAATGCTGGCAAGATGGCAGACTGAAAGATAAAAGGTGTAAAGAGATACCAAAAGCAAAATTTCAGGAGTTCCAATTCCAGCATTAGGAGGTTGCCCTCCTCCCTCTACTTCTTCTTTGCTGGCTCCTCCTCTTCTGCCCACTTCTGAACCCTGCTCGTTCTCAGCATTTTGCAGCAGGGGCCTCTTCTCACTGGGCACTTTCCCTAGGCCACCTGACCCTCTTCCGTGGGGCTTCCGTAACAACCCGGTCGGCAACGAACTCCTCCGTCTGTGTTTCCTGGTCAGGTCCCTCACCTGCACTGCAGACTCGTAGAGACAAGTGTCCACTGGACATACCCACCTCCGTGTCCTGCAGATCACTCTAACTCTACCTGCTGGGAACCTGGCTCATCAACTGCCTCTCCTCTTGGGAGTCTGTCTCAAGGTGAGAGCTATCCACTGTTCATACATTTGCCTACACTCAAAACCCCAGGAGGTCCTCTTGGACTCTTCTCTCTCCTTCACGTAAGACGTCCAATTAATCACCATGTCCTGCTCAATCCTGCCTCAGAATTTCCCTCGAGCATGTTCGCCTACCGTGTTTGTACCACAGCACGTCACCCAGGTTGCCAGGGCAGCCCAACACATCCTCCTGCCTTCCTCCCCTGGCCCTCCCTGCTCCTCACTGATCCACCCCTCCACGGCAACCACAGTGAACTTGAGGAAATAGAAAGCTTTTCAATCCAATATTCAAAATCAGCCTATCTTTTCCCACTGGCTTCACCTGGCCCCAGCTCCCCTCTCCATCAGCGTGCTGTTCCTCCTGCATGCTCCGGCCATACCGAACCCTTAGTTCCCTGAGTGCACCTGCTAGTGCCCTTATGGTCCCACCTGTCACGATACTGTTCCCTCTGCTGGATATTCTCCCATCTCTTGCAAGGCTAACTTCTAATTACTGTTCAGGTCCCAGCTTACGCATCACACCATTTCCTCGGGCAACTGTTCTCTGACCTCACAAATCTGTTAGGTGTTTCTCTTGGGTGCTTCAAATCACCCTGCACTTGCCCTGGCACAGCACTTAGCACCGTGTCCAGTAAAGTGCTGTTTAACTGGTCTGTATCACACACAGAGCTGGAAGTCTCGGAAGGGAACAACAAGTCCTGTCTCCCAGTCATTTTCCCAGCACCCGCCACGTGCCTGGCACACTGAATGCTCCAGTAAGTCTCTGTGGGAGGAGCCACAGGGAGTCAGACCCTGTGCAGAAGGTCTGAATCAAAAAGTTCTTGCTGTATGTCTGGGCTCAGTAATGTGCGACCCACTAGGGATAGACAGGAGGGTAAGAGAAATCATAGCCTTAGCACAGGAGACTTCACTTTATGTTTTTCCATTTTCCCTGAACACCTAGCTGTGTGGACACAAAGCAGCCATGTGAGAAATAGATGTTGAACCAAATTAGACACAAGACAGCAGTTGACTTTATACCAAATGTATGCATAACAGGAAGTCAGGATATAGAGAGCAGCTTGTGCTAGAATAAACAAGAAAGGCTAAATTAAAGGCTAAGGAGATGAAAGTCAGACACTTTTAATGGGATTTGGCAGAAAAAGGAGGGTAGGCCATTTCAATAATGGGTAGGGAATCAACAGAAGAAACAACAGAATTGCCATGAGGAGCCCTGTCAGCTCAGCTTTTGGTGTACATGAAAATCACCTGATGAGCTTTACTGAAATACATCTACCTGGGCCCCACCCGGAGATTCGGATTTGGTCCTTCAGTGAGATTAGGCCAGGAATCTGTACCAGTCCAGACATAGGGTTAGGTGGGGCAGAGAAACTGGTAGGTAAGAGCAGGGGCTGAGTTAGGATCCAAGCTCTATCTCTTATTGCTAAGGCTGAACAAGGGCAAGTTCAAAACCTCTCTGTGCCTGAGTTTCTTTATTCGTCAAATGGAAATAACAGTACATCAAGCAAGGTTTCAGAGAGGACTAAATCAGATAATACTTGTAAAGATCTCAACAGTGACTTATGCACAGTAAGCTGTCAATAAATATCAGCTATTATTATTGACTACATACTGTTATGTCCTGCGGGGTCTCAAATGAAAAAAGTTTACTTGGCAGACTGGGAGAGGAGAATTAGACCTGATGTGAACTTCTAGAGTATTATTATTTTATCAAGAGAACCCAAATGTACATCTCATGACACCAAACGAGTTGCTGAAAGGACAAACTCACCAATCCCAAAATGCTCGTTCCACATGGTGTGCAGACCAATTGCTGCTTCAGACAAGTAAGTCTTTAACTCATCAAATGGAATGTTTATTTTAAATTCCACATCTTCTTGAACTCCCAGATCCTCAGAAAGCTTTCTCAGTTGGTTTACCCTGAGCTCATCATCTTGGTTACGACACCCTCCAATGAGGACAAGTTTAAGGGAAGGAAGTGACCCAGCCACCTTCTTATTCAGCAATTTAGCAAAGGCTTTGATCTGCAAAGGATGATTCTTTTCAGGCCGGAACTGGCCAATGGAAACCAGCAAATGTCCTGGGGTTGTCTTTTTCTCATGTAAGGGAATGTCCAGAAAGGTCTGTACATCACAAGGTGGGTAAACAATATTAGTGCAATTCCCGACTTTCCACAGTGAGAGAATGTGGTTTAGCGTCCAAGAAGAATTGACCATCACTACATCACTGCAAGAACCCACAAGTCCATAAATAAAAGCAAATAAATAGTAATAGATGAGCTTTACTTTGCTGAGAAAAGGATTCCTGGTAATGAAGGCTGCGTTATTAAATCCGATATTTTGGTTCTTCACTACAGACAGCATATCGGTGCTGATCGTGGGATAATGAACGTAGCTGCCAATGCGACAACCACCTAGATACTTAAACAGAGGCAGTGTGAACGCGTATCCCATTGAATCGATGTAAACGTCAGGAACACACTGCATTAGAGCTTCCCAGCCAAGAAAAATGGATCCTAGACTTTGGCCCAGCAGTGTGAAGTGAGGATAGAGCGAATCTTCCACAAGGTAGCGTTTCCTCAGGAAAACAAACTTCACTGGGTGAGTGAGCCTGATGTTAAATCTTCGGAAAGCACCTTCTAGAATCTGTTGACCACTGACGTTCACGTCACCAGTATACACAACATAAATTGCTTCAGGATACCTAAAACAGAATGCAGTAGTTAAGATTTTCACTGGTTTAGGTTAAAATCGAGCAGAAAAGTTGGAGATAATTATTTTGTCACAATCATAAAGAAGGTTATTTCTATATTGAAAAAAAATGTTTTCCACTGTTTTTCCTTCATTGCACTTGGTCTGCTGATCCCGAGTCCTCTGCTGTCCTGGGAGTTAAATGTTAGTCCTCCAAATGAGACTTCGAGTTCTTTGCTATTTCCTCTTCTGAGAGTTTTGCATGGAGCAGACATCAACAGAAATTGCTGACATTTCCGCTTTTATGAAATACACAGAAACTTTATTCTGACGACCTTTTCAGTATAAAATGGTAATATCAATAACGTACTCCTAAACAAGAGTTAAAACTTACTAAATGTATCTTTAGACAGGATCATAGATGCTAAAGCGTTACTCTATTTTTATCTGAGAAATGCAATAAGATTCTAAAAGCTAGATCAGGTGCCTGCATCAAAATCAGATAGGGTAGAATAATAATGGAAGTCTTTAAAAGTATATATTCTTATGACTATGCTTTTGGCATTTGCTCTGATGGTGTTTTTGGCTACTGAGTCATAAAACATTTCTTAAATATCTAGTATGAGCTACTAGGTTCTGGGGATTCAGGGATTAGAGGGTCTTTACCCTCGAGGAGCTGAGTTCAGTGGGGAAAACAGATATATAAACAGAAAACTGCAAAACTGTGATATGTGTTGATAAAGACAGCCATGGGATGCTGTGCAGACCCAAAGGATGAGCATCTAACTGCACTTCCCCACAGGCAGAATGATCCTTAGACTGAGGTGTTTTGTTTTGTTTTTTTTAACGTTTATTTATTTTTAGTATATGTGCTGCCGAAGCGAGCACTAACGTTTATTTATTTTTGAGAGACAGAGAGAGAGAGAGAGCTTGCACACATGAGCAGGGAGAGGGGCAGAGAGACAGAGAGAATCGCAAGCAGGCTCCGCACTGTCAGTGCACAGCCCGAAGCGGGGCTCAAACTCAAGAACCGTGAGATCATGACCTGAACTGAGATTAAGGGTCAGATGCTTAACCCACTGAGCCACTCAGGTGCCCCTGGAATGATCCTTATAAAACGTAAAAACGATTGTCATCTCCGATTGCTTAAAGATGGCCACAAATTCTTTGACACTTATCAAGTGGTGGGATCTATGTCCCTTCCCCTGGAATGACAGGCTCTGTGACTGCTTTTACCAATAGACTATGTCAAAGGTGACATTTTGCCAGTGTCTAGAGCCAAGTTCTATGGGGATGGTAATTTCTGCTTTGCTCTAGAGAAGTCAGCTGTCACATAAGACGTCCAACTATCCTGAGACTGCCATGTTGTGTGCAAGCCCAAGCGAGTCACGTAGAGAGGCTGCGGGCGACAGAGATGCCTGACCAGTGTTCCCCACCCTCACCCACTGTCACTGTTGCAATCATCCCAGCCCAGGAAGCAGGTATGTTAGTGGAGAAGCCTTCAGATGACTTGGAGCCAGCTGCCATCTAACTGCAGCAGCTTGGTATGCAGGATTTCAAATAGGGCCCATCAATCCCCAAACTGTGAAAAATAATGAGAAATTCTTGCTTTAGCCATTACGTTTTGGGGTGGCTTGTCACGTAGCAGCAGATAAGCAGAATATCATCTCTCTGTCTGAAACACTCATATAGTTTCCCACAGCACTTAGAATACCAGCTAGACTCCTCACTCTACTCACTCAAGCCCTGAATAATCTGGACCCTGCCTCCGCTCTCTCACGTACCCACAGGGTCAGCCAAACTGGATTCCTTTCTCTGAACGAGACAGGCTCCTTCCAGTCTTAGGGGACTTGCAAGAGTTGTTCCCTCCGTTTTGAACTCTCTTTTCTCATCTTCACTGTGTTTTCCTGAGGCAGACGGTATGGCATGTGATTTACAACATGGGCTCTGTAATGCAGTTCCCTTATCTGTCAAATGAGGGTAACAGTAACAATCTCGTAAGGTTACTCTGAAGATTGGGTGAGCTGACACGTGTAAAACACTTCAAACAATGCCTGGCACATAGTAAATGCTAAGTACACGTCAGCTGCTTTTGTCATTTAAACTTCAGTGAAGTATCACCTCCTTGGAGATTTTCCCTACTTACTCAGTCTAAAATATGGAATCATTCCCGGGGCACCTGAGTGGCTCTGCCGGTTAGGCATCTGACTCTTGATTTCGGCTCAGATCATGATCTCATGGTCATGAGATCAAGCCCCAAGCTCTGCTCAGTGCAGAGCCTGCTTGGAATTCTCTTTCTCCCACTCTCTGCCCCTTTCCCGTTCTCTCTCTCTCAAAATAAGTAAACATTAAAAAAAAAAAGTATGGAGTCCTATTTTAATTTCTTGCGTAGCATCTCTCACCATTTGGTATTTTTCTTTTTAGGTATTATTTTGTCTCCTCTCCACTAAAATCTAAGATCCATGATCTATTTTGTTCACCATTCAATCTCAACTCAACAGTGCCTGACACAGAGTAGGTCCCCAAGAAATATTTCTAGATCGAATGAAAAGTGTATTGTAGTTTATGCTGAGTCAGGAGAGGCTTGTAGAAATTAGCTGAGGAGAAAAGGTCAGAAAAAAAAGGAACACCGTATGGAAAGGCAAGGAATCTATAGAGAGAGCCTGATGCTCCTAGTTCAGTGTGCTGAGCAAAGTATACATGAAGGAATGGGGAGGGATGAAAAATAAAATGTGGCAAGAACAAGATGAAAAAGTATCTTCTATGTCCTACTGAGGATTTGGACTTCTTTCACTGCAGGTGACTTGGGAATAACAGAGTTTGCTGGGGAGTACAGTAGAGCTATCACAAAACTTTACCGCTGCCCTCAAGAGTGAGAGAATCCAGGTAGACAAGTTAATGCACAGAGTTAGGAGAAATAAAGAGCAGTAGTGATTAGAGAAGGAGCAGGGAAGGCCTCAGAAAGGTGGGCAGTACGCTGAGATCTAAGAACATGTTTTAGATCCAGGGAGTTATGGAAGATGGCAGAGGAAATACAAGGGTGGTGGCTGGAAGCCAGGATGAGCCGAGAAACAGAGATGTAGAGTGAAGGGAATTCTGTGTGAAGGTTCTGGAACTGGATGAAGGGCATGTGCCAGGAAGTAGCGTAACCAGGGAAGAATAATAGTTTCCTCCTATGATAAAACCACAAATGGAATTTGTACTTTACTGTGTTTATTCCTCCTACGTTTGGAGATGCAGGTGGGGAGAAGGAAGCCTAAAACATGAAATGACCGGGTAGTAGCATATTCTTTCGAACATGGTAACTTAAGACTAACTGGTAATGATATCAACATTAAAATCAGATAGATGCTCTCACAGAGATTATCTCCTGTGTGCCACTATGGACTAAATGTATTCAGGCTTAAAGTGTTCCTTGGTATTGCTTGATATGTTTCTGTTTACTATTCAACTTCTCCACACGTTCTTCCAAGGTGACAGTTATCCCCGCTAAATTTTGCCATTAAAGGGTGGATACTTTCCCTTTCCATTTCTTTAGCATATCAACTAAAATTCAACAGGATCTTGTAAGGCAGGCTGGCACATAACAGGAGCGTTTCCTTATTGAAGAACAATTAATTTCTGGCCACGAGTAAGGTGAGAGAAAGTTAAGTTTCTGGGCAATGATTTTTTTTTTTAAAGGTAATACGAGAGCAAATGAGCTAAGAAAGATGCATACCTACTTTTTCTGCAGAGCCCTTAAGGCACACCACAAAACTCTTTCTCCTCCACCACCAGCATTGCAGTACGGATGAAAAAATGCAATCACCAGTTGATTTTTCCCATTTTTGCTAGTTGCTACTGACTCTTTCTTTCTTCGTAGCAGCAGTCTGATTCCCCAGAGGATAATGGACAAACATATGCATAAAATTCCACATACTGTCAGGCCAGGGAGGAATAATGAATAAAAAAACCTGAAACAAGAAGGAAAATATAAAAATCAACAGAATGCCCATTCAAAAGAAACAACAAATTAAAGTCCACTTTTACATATCCACTTTATGTATCAGTAGTAAAGACAGATTTTTATACCTGGGAGTCTGCTAACGAAATACTTTTTAATCAGCAGTAAAAATCAATCTCCTAACAGTGTATGTGTTAAGGGACTAAAAACAGGGGCGCCGGGGTGGCTCAGTCGGTTAAGCGGTCGGCTTAGGCTCAGGTCATGATCTCGTGGTCCGTGAGTTCGAGCCCCGCGTCGGGCTCTGTGCCGACAGCTCAGAGCCTGGAGCCTGTTTCAGATTCTGTGTCTCCCTCTCTCTGACCCTCCCCTGTTCATGCTCTGTCTCTCCCTGTCTCAAAAATAAATAAATGTTAAAAAAAATTAAAAAAAAAAAGGACTAAAAACTAAAATTTAATTATTAACCTAAACAAGACATGATCAGGAATGGCATCTGACCCTCAAAAATCACAACACAGAACCCAAGCAGTATGTCTTCTGAATGATCAATAATGAACATTTAATTAGTTAAAAGTTTGGTGAGGTAGCAAATCATTTTTATTCTTTCACTTTGCCTCAAATAGAACAATTTCTGGGGTGAGAGGACTTAGATCTCTCCATTTCTATTACAAGTTCTGCATCTGATCTGTTTCTATGACCCTAGAACACTGCCTTTCCTTATGTGCCTCTAAATGAGTTGCCATAAATGCTCTGACAACGTACTTCTACTCCATACTCACTCCCCCACTGACTGCTAAAAGGCTCTTACTGCCAGGCTGACTGAAGCTCTGCAAAGGCAAGGAAGGACCCAGGCTTGTTTACCACTGGATGCCAACGCCTAGCATAATGCCTGGCCCAGAGAAGGCATCCGTGTTTGTTGACAGCATACAAAATTCTTTACCGCTTCAGACGTCTCTCAGATGATGTTAAAATAATTTTTCAAAGTGTGTTTTTCTGTTAGCATTGGGCAATATAGTTGGTATCTAGCTTCATATTTTTTATATCCTGCCTACCCTTTATAAAGGATCCGGGGAGCTTGTAACACATAAAGACACTAAAATACTAAAACTTAAATAATGAAAACGCAGGGCTGGGGAGTTCAAGTATTTGGTGGGGAGCAGTGACAGGTGGGGGACATAGATATACAGACTCTAAGTTTGTACGTGGTAGTGAAAAGGAGATTGGACTCTGAAGGGCTTAATGATCCAAGCATGTATGGGGATATTTTGTGTACTTGCATAGTTTTCATTGTCCATAAGTAGAAGACATAAATTCTTCAGAGAAATAACTTTTTTTCTTAATTTTTAAAGTTTATTTATTTATTTTGAGAGAGAGAGACAGAGAGTAAGTGGGAGGGGCAGAGAGGGAGACAGAGAATCCCAAGCACAGGGAGAAAATCTGACAGTGCAGCCTGACATAGGGCTGGAACTTACGAACCATGAGATCATGACCTGAGCCAAAACAAGAGTTGGATGCTTAACCGACTGAGCCACCCAGGAGCCCCGGCAGAAATAAATATCTTACTTATATTTAGTTTGGAAACAAACTTCTCATGTGGGACCTCCTATTGTGAATAATTGCACTGTTTGAAGACGTATTTGACTTATTAGAATGATTGATCTCAGGATATCTTTAAACTCTTAAAAATTCCTGAAGACCCCATACAGCTTTTATTTCTATCAGGATTTCCCAACCTCGGCACTGCTGACATTTTAGACCACAATAATTCTTTGTTTGCAGGGACTGTCTTATGCATTATAGGATGTTTAGCTGCATTCCTGGTCTCAACCCACTGGATGCCTACAGTACCCTTCCAATCATGACCATAAGAATTATTTCGACATTGCTAAATGTCCTGCAGAAGTTAAAATCAGCCCTTGTTGAGAAATACTCATTTACATTGATTATATCTACCAATATTTAGCATATCAAATGAAACTGAGGAATTTAATGAATTATTCTGACAATGACAAATCCATTACAAGTTAATATAAAACACATTTTTACTAAAAAAGCCCTTTTTTCCAAACAAACAAAAAAGAAATTCAGTAAGAAGGGTATTACTGTTTTAGATATTTGCAGACCTCTTTAACGTCTGGCTTAACAAAAGACAGTAGCTTTTAATATCTGCTTCTGCATTCAATCTTAGTGATATGTTGTTTTACTTGAAGTATGTGAAGGAAATGTAAGCTCACTCAGATATGTAGTAGGAAAAGGGAGTGTGTTTAAATACCCTTTTCAGATGGTTACAGCATTTTTCTGTGATGTTATACCAAATTAGACAAGTGGTAATTTCTTAATTGTCAGGTGCAACATGGAGTTTGAAAGCCAATCAATGCCCTTTTCATACTCTGTTATACTGAAATCTTGTGCTTTAAGTGGATCTTTTACCTATACATGATTTTGTAATGTCATGACTTGATTATTTAGAAAATATTGGTTTATGACTCATGTAGCCTTTCCAAATGTGGGCACATTTTTTCATTGTATAATATCCCCAAATCACATTTGTTAATATCACTACCCATCTCTTCAGGAAAATCTTTTAATTATTGGAAAGTGGTCAAGCTTTGAATGGCAGATACAGGTTCTCCAAATTCTAATTTTCACTTGAGAGTTCAAACTTTATTATTAGCAATAAATTCTGTCACTTGTTTTCTTTGAACTGACAGGGTCACTTCATTCATTTTCAAAGCCAAGTCAGAAGAACCATACTTTGTCAGTCATTCTTTCAAGTAGAAACCACGTCCCATAAAAAAGTGTCTTGAGCTTTCAACTTAGCAATCATGCAAGAACTTTTCCTTGAGATAAGCATCATACTTCAGTATGAAGACATTATATATATTAAAAATGTATTCAACTCAAGGTTAATTCTTAAAAAAATTAATTTTTACTGTTTCATCAAGGACATTCTTAGTAAAACTGGCTTTAGCAAGTGCACGGTGGTGAAAAACACAAGACTTCTAGTGTACTTTGATTTCATTGCCTCGATTTGTAGTAAGTAGCAGTTTTATCCACTATTACTTTTGCACCATTGGTGCAAATGTAAACATAATGAGAAAGCAAATGTTAGCATAAATTATTATAAAAATAGTTTTGATCTTGAAGAACTATTAAAAGAGTCTTCAGGACCTGTCAAGGTCTATGGACCATACTTTGAGAACTACTGACTTAAAGGATGAACAGGGTTTGACATAAGTGGTAAGATTTGTCAATTATTTAATGTTTGGAATATATCTGTTCATAAAAAGAATATTATACAGCTTTCCCAGGAAAAGTTAAAAGCCCATTTAATTTAAAATGAGGCTGATCCATAGAATCCAAGGATTTTTATGGCATTTCCTTCTAATGATTTAAGTGGGAAGATTCATGTGATAGGATTTTCAAACTGAACTATTTAACTTAAAATCAGAAAAAATAAATCCTACTAATAACTAAAGTTGAGCCAGTCCTTTATTGAGTCTCTTAGTTTCAAAGATACAGACTATATAAATTTATTAAACATCCTACAGTACTTGCACATCAAAACTATCCATTTTAGAATTTGTTTAAATCTAACTAAAAATAGGGGCGCCTGGTGGCTCAGTCCAGTTAAGCATCCAAATTTTGGCTCAGGTCATGATCTTAGGGTTTGAGAGTTGGAACCCCACATCGGGCTCTGTGCTGACAACTCAGAGCCTGGAGCCTGCTTCAGATTCCGTGTTTCCCTCGCTCTCTGCCCTTCCCCAACTCGTGCTCTCTCTCTCTCTCTCACTCTCAAAAATAAACATTCAACTATACAGTATATACATACACACACACACACACACGTATATAAACTAAAAATATGTGCCATTAAATAACGTTTACCACAGAAACCCAAGGCTTTAAAAGATAATTAATCAACAGTGACTCATTCATTCAACAAACATTTATTTAGCCATTGTGATGTGCAAAGCACTGAGTCAGGGATATTTCAAATGTCAGGGAAGAATATGAAGCCTCTGAAAATAGACTTTCCTGTTCAAAATGTTTTAAATAATCATTATAGAAATTGGAGTAGAGGGGACAAAAATGAAGAAACAATACCTGAATTTTGGAGAGAATAGGTATACACTGCAGGATGCTATCATGTTAATTACAAATTTCAACCTGAACAAAAATAGGTAGGTGTTAAAAGAACTGTGTAGATGGAATATAATAGGTCTTTTTTTTTTTAAAATAAATTTAGGGCAAGTCAGGTAAAAAACAGTAGTATTACAACAATAAAAGTAGGGGGAAAAAAGTCTGGGGTTTTTTTCACCAAAATGTTAACAGTAGTTATCTCCAGATGGTAGCACGCCTGGCCAGTTTTCTTTTTTGCTCCTCTATTTCCTAACTCTTCTATAAGAAACAACGTATTACCTACGTAATACAATTTTGTATTACTCCTACATCAACCGGAAATAAAGATCAATGGATGATCATGAAGCAGATGATTCAACATAAACTTTTTATTTGTGAAAATAAAGAGAAATCTCACTAAAATGGAGTCAGGAGGCCAGAAGCGGGAACGCAGAGGAGCTCTATCACTCAAATGTCAATTTCATGAAGAACTGTCAATTACAGCATCCAACAGTAGAATCCTAAACACGATGGAATGGTCACTAACAGGCCCCAACAGGGAGAGATGTACGTCGCATTTCCTACAAGAGTACTCCTGCAACTCAGCCAATGAGAAACCCTCACTACTCTTGCTTTTCTCCAGCGGACTTTACTCCAACCCCCCCACCCCTTCAACTTCCTCCTTCTCCATAAAACAACGGTCCTCTCGTTGGTAGAACTTGCCAGGTATGGTTTTGTCATAGCTTGTATATCCAGAAATGCAATTCTCTGCTACTCCCGAAAAAAACAAACAAAACCAACCAAACCACTTTTGTTGGTAAGATAGCTGTTTTATTTTTAAGGTTAACATATTTAAGTGACATATGTTAACAGCGACCATTTTGGTGAGTGAAAGAGGGGACACTAAGACGTGACAAGAGCCAGTTTATTCTTTACCAAAAAGAGACACGATAGTTTGGAAAATGACCCATGGCTCAATTATAAAGGAAAACGAGAAATGAATATGGATAATTTACAACAGAATAGTTGGAGTGTGAACAAAAAAGAAAAAGGGAAACTACACCCTTCAGCCAGAAGTGGGGCAGGCGAAGAAAACGCGGTTAACTGAGTCTTTAACCCAGTCAGCTTCAGTCTAATTAAGACTCCGAAGTGAGAACAGCGCTATCCTTGAGGCCTAGATTCGTGACTAGAAGATCCCCCTTCCCCGCAAACTTCAGTTGCCCTGGGCGGACAAGAACCCCCGCAAAACAGAAAACGCCTGCGAGCCCACACCACCAGCTCCTCACCTCAGAAACTCGCACAAGCACCAACCCCCTTTGGTGGTCGCCATCTTCCCTCGACCCCCGAACTCAGGAAGCGCTTCGCTGTTCCTCTTCTCTATTGGCTCCAGAGGAAGCGGGCGGTGTTCTCTCCGACCCCATGGGGCAGGTTTCGCGTCTCAATTGGCTGCTGGTAGTAGCTTCCCACGGCCTTCCAGTCAATAGAATCTCCCGGGGAGGAGACAAGTTTTCGGCGTGGCGCACAAGGGTCCCGCCCCCCCCAGCGGGCGGGGCCGTAGTGGGAGTAGGGCTGGAGAGGGCGTGGCCTGTGATAGACAGCCGGGCACCCGCCCTCGGCCCCCTCCCCCACTGGAAGCCCCCCAGCCCGGGGCCCGCCGGCCGTTGAGACCAATGGGAGGCCCTTGCGCATCTCGGATCGATTTCCCAGGTGCGGAGTTCACTCCCGCGGCAGCTGCGGCATTTGGGACCCGCGACGCCCCGGAGCGAAGCGCGGAGCTGAGAGGCAGCTGTGCGGAGTGGACCCGAAGAAGGTGCCCGCCACGCCGCACCTCTCCGCCAGCGGTTGGCGAGCCCTGGGATCTGCATCTCCGGCTCGGCTCTGCGCCGCTCGCCCGCCCTCTTGTCCTTCACACGCCGGGGGCCTAAGACCGAGTCCGCAGCGTACCGGCTCGAGGTAGCGGAGACTTGGGAGGGAGGACCGGTCCCCGTCAGGGGCACGGGCAGGGCCGCCTCCGGGTGTGAATGAGGGTCCGAGGCCAACCCTCCGCCCTTGCGCTTATCCCCGCACCCCCCACAAGGGCCAGGGCGCGCAACTTTGAATTAGCCGGTGGGGCGAGGGCTGCTGATCCCCTGGTCTGAAATGCAGGAGACCTTTTCCAGACCCTTCCCCGGGTGAGAGAGCCGAACCGCAGAGATGCCACCCACAGCCCGCTCCCGGGGTTTTAACACCGCACTTCTCCACTAACCAGGTGACCTGTGGGCTCTGGGCGGATCACAGAAGAAATTGGTTCCTCCGGAGGAGGATGCTTGAGCAGGAGAGGCAGCTTACTGCTAGAGTAGGGGCCGGTTGGAAAGTAAGTTTCCCTACCCGAGCGCCGCGTGCTCACACCTGCCGGGAGGACTTTCCACGCCCACCTGCCTGCCTTTCTCTGCGGCCTGGCCTGGCTTGCTCGGGGAAGGCAGGGGGCTAGAGCCCTAGCTCCAGGAGAGCGCCCTTAGAAATGCTATGCCTTTAACGGGTTTGCAGGAACAATTTAAAACCCAGCACTTTCCCACTCCTCTTTATGTCTGAAGCTGGATTTGTAAGTGAGCGTTGAGTTGCTGTGTAAGAGCCCTAATTGCCCAGGACGAGTAAATTAGTTACCCAGAGAAGTTATGAAGAGTGCGCGGGTCTCTTTTTATCCAGGTCCTGCAACTTTTTTTTTTAAAGAACTGTTTTGAATTCATTTTAATTATACAAGTAAGGCATTAATGTGGTGACTTAAAAATGCAAACAGCACAGAAATATTGAGCATGAAAAGCAGATCTGCTTCCTAATCCTTTTCTGTACATTTACATATGTCATCCTTTGTTCTGCAAATATTTATTGAACACTTACTGCATGTTTCAGGCATGGTACTGAAGAGCCGAAAATACAGTGGTTAAAAAATGTGTGTGTGTGTGTGTGTGTGTGTGTGTGTGTGTGTATCTCCAGATAAATCTTTAGGTTTTGTATGTATGTGGTTTTAAAATTTTTGTTTGTTTGTTGTAAATGAGATCACATAGTGTGTATTCTCCAACCTTTCTTTTCTTCCCCCCCCCCCCATAGAACTGTCTTTTGGAGATTGTTTCATATCAGTACATAAACATCTATCTTGTTGTTCAGTTTAACCTCTATACAGTATGGATGCATACCATAGTAAGTTTTATTTTTTCCCTGTGGGTGGACATTCTGTGTATTTCTAACTTTTTTTCCTCCCTTCACAAGCCATGCTGTAGAGGACATCCTTGTACATGATTTTTAATGCTGACACTTGAGTATTTCTTTAGGATGGACATGTAGGCCTGAATTGCTGGTCTACAGATTTCTAAAGTGAACTCAACAACATTATTTTGTGCCCTTTTGTAGTGAAATTTGTCTTAGGTTCTGGTGGTACAGAAATGAAAGGTAAGTGGATTAATGGATGGGTAGACAGAGGCTGGTCAATAGATGCCTCTAAGTGTGATGGCTCTGCATTTAATGGAGGTGCAAAGAACACATGGGGGAGGGTGGCTCAGACAGGGGCACACTTCTAACTCCCTACGGTGCCCCCACCTCTCTACCCATCAGAACAATCCTTATCATTCCAGATCAAGCTCAAGATGCTTCCTCCTTGAAACTTTGGTGACTGCTTCTCCCTGTGTTGACCTCACCCTCTTCTGGATTTCTTAGAGAATAGTATTAGCTGATATTACTGAGCCTACTCCCTGCTAGGCACTGTACTAAGCACTTTATATTCTTTTATGTGCACTGTCTTATTTAATCCTCACAAAACCCTTTGATGTAGGTATTATTTTTTGTTATTACCACTTATTTAACAGTTGTTTTTTTTTGGGGGGGAGGCATGAGTGAGTGAGGGGGTGAGAGAGAGAATCCCACATAGGCCCCTCCCTGTCAGCGCTTCAACCCAAAGCGGGGCTTGAACTCATGAACAGTAGGATCATGACCTGAGCCAAAGTCAGATGCTTAACTGACTAAACCACCCAGGTGCCCCTAACAATTTTTTTTTTTTTTTTTTTTTTTTTTTTTAGTATTTACTCTGTGCCAGCCATTCTAGGCACTGGGGATCCAATTAAGACTAAGACCCTGCCCTCAAGGAATTTATGTCCTAGTGGGAGATGCAGAAATAAAAAAGGGTAGGCAAATAGTGTGATTTTTGGCACTGGTAAGTGTTGTGGAGTAAATAAATCCGAGTATGGGCATTAGGCAGGACATGGGAGGGGAGATACTATCTAGGGCAGGTCGTCAGGAAATTATCTCTGAGGAGGTTGTATGAGTAGAGACCTGAATGGTTCAGATTTGGGAGAAGCGTTCTAGGTTGAGGAACCAGAAGGTGTCAATGTCCTAAGCCCAGAGTGAGCCGAACAGGGGAGGAACAGTAAAAGAGAGCCAGAGTGGCTGGAACAGAGAGAAGGAGAGGAAGTAGTACAATACGGGGTCAGAATTCATCCTCTTTACAGGTGGGGGGACTGAGGCAGAGAGAGGTTAAGTCACTTACTCAAGGTCCTACAGATAATAAGAGCTAGTAACAGGGAGATCTGGAATTGAGTCCTCGCCAGGCTGCTTTGACTTTCTTGGGTATATATTTTCTTTCAAACTTCCTTGACACCTGGTCATATGGTATGATTATTTAAACTTATCTGAATATAGCTTTTTTTTTTTTTTTTTTTTATCAACTGTGTGTTTCTTGAAAGCAGGGACCAGGTTTGTATCTCTTAAAAAACATTTTCCAGGGGTGCCTGAGTGGCTCAGTCGGTTGAGTGTACGATTCTTGATTTCAGCCCAGGTCATGGTCCCAGGGATGGAGCCCTGTGTTGGGCTCCTTGCTCACTGTGGAGCCTGCTCAACATTCTCTCTCTCTCACTCTGCTCCTCTCCCCTACTTACCTGTTCTCTCTCTATCTCAAGAGAAAAAAAATTCTCCATAGCTATTATAATATGTGCACCAGAGTTGTTCTTGAATGAATGAGTTATAGCAAGATTTTTCCCTACCCCCGCCCCCAACACATTGTTTTCTCTTCGGAGGCCTGTCTGGGGCAGCAGTAACCCTGAAAGGGAGGTGGTCCATGAGCTGGGTCATTCAGCCTTCACTCTACAAACATGGAGTGCCTTCTGTTTCTCTGACGCTGGGCCAAAGCAGAATAGAAGTGCAGTAGTGGCACAAAGATGAATAGAGGTCAGCCCCTGTACTCTTGGGGCTGACAGTCATAGGTGCCAGACAAAGACGTCTGTATACAGCATAGCACGCACAGGCAAGAGCGATTGGCCTTTCCTGGGAGGAAGGGATGCAAAAAGAACTTCAAGAAGAGGTATTTCATGACCGAGGTTTTGAAGGAGAAATGTGTCAGCTGGGCACACAGAAGAATGAGAACAAGGATGTCGCAGGTACAGTCCGGCATGTGCAAAGGTGCAGAGGCTAGAAGTGGAAAGACAGATTTGCCCTGAGTGGCTTGACAGCCTGGAAAGTGGTTGTGGGAGGCTCTGTTTCTCAGGCCTTTGGACTTTATCCCACAGACGGGGGAGTTTGCACAGGGGGAAATGGTGTATGGTGCTCTTCGGAAGTAAAGGGCGAACTGGGAACAGAGGTGCTGGAGACCTGATTAGAGGCCTTTGCTGGGGTCATCCCATCCAGATCCAAGGTGGCCAAAGCCCTACAGAACTGGGAGTCCCGTTCCCAGTGTCATGTCAGGAGACAGTGGAGGTTTTCTGCACTCTTCAGTGTCCAGAGCATCAGAGGCAATGGTAGTCCTTCTAGCAACAACACAGAGAATAGTGGGTACAGGACTAACTGGGAGTAAACTGCGGTGGGGGAGGGGTGCCGGGGTGGTTCAATCAGTTAAGCATCCAACTCTTGATTGTGGCTCGGGTTATGATCCCAGGGTCGTGAGATTGAGCCCCATGTCGGGCTCTGCGCTGATAGTGTGGATCCTGCTTGAGATTCTCTTTCAAAACAAAGAAACGAACACTAAAAAAAAAAAAAAAAAGCTGGCGGGGGGGGAAAGAGAATTGGATTTTAAGTGCTTCTTTATCTGACATCTTCACTGCAAGGATGGAGATGACCCAAGTCCATTACTGTCCACTGATGCCATAGCACAGGTAGCAGAAAGTGTCCATGTTCAAGCGTGTGCAATATTATTTTATCAGTAGGATTAGAAATCCTTACCCAGTGAAATTCTCGAATGTCTGACTTTTTTTTTTTAAACTAAGTTAAAGGAAAAAAATCTAAGCAGATCAAAGGTCAATGAGATAAAGTAGAGGGCAAAGCAGAGAGGGACTTTTCATTGTGATGTAACCAACATGGCAAATAAGATTTAAAAACACCAGTGGTTTGAAACCTGTGGATTCAGAATGCAGCAATTCTGTTGAAGCCTCCGTTCCCACAGAAACTAAAAA